TTCATGACTATTTTTCCATTTTATATATTATAATTCAAGGAAATCTGCTAATGTCCTTTTAGATGCAGAACTGATAGAGTGACCCGATTTTATTGTGAAAGCAAGATATGAATTTGGTGTTCATTTTTTGATATAATTATATTGATATCACCTTTTAATTGACACAATACACAATATCCAGTGTAGAACAAACCCTTGATTTGATTTAAATGTATCTACAACTTTCTTTTCAAGAGTATTAAAGCATTGAATAATTACCCCATGCGGAATCATCTGTCCTGTAGTATATTTTTATATCATGAATGCTGTGGATTGACGTCAAGTTTACCCACCAAGTCAGATTACTGAATCCATCAGCAGAAATTGTGCATTGTCCTCAGTAGCCTGTCAAAACAGTCTTTTGTCCATCAACGCCATTGCTTGAATCAAAGGTAGCTTGTCCATACTTACTATTGGTACTCATGTGCATATAAACATGCGGCTGGTACGTTTGTTTATTTAAAGCGATATTTTCTAAAAATAAATACAATGTATAATGGTGTCGTCATTCCCTCACAACCTTTTTTAAAAGATTTATTATTATTAATTAAACTTCTCAAAATTACATGAACGGTTTAGAAAATATTTCGTGACAATATTATATTTATTTCAAATTTGCTCTATTTTCAAATAAGATTTTTCTTGAGGAAAACAGATGTTGCTTCAATTTCTGAAAATTTATGAATATTCTCATAATATGATTTTAAAAGATCTTACCATATCCATAAACAGTAAGTAGAACTGTTATCATCAGACCCAAAGCTAGCATTGCGGCGCGTTGAGAGAGACACTCTTACCATTGAGGAAGTTGATCTATATAGTGTAAGAGAGTAAAAACTCAATCCCATTTGGTGCCACTTGATAAACAAGGCTATTTGTATATAAATGGTTTTGTTTTGAAAGATCTTACATTTCTTTTAGTATAAACATTGATGGAGTCTATTTACATTTTAAGGAAATGATAAAATGATTTTTTATCTGCTTTGTGAAAGACTGTGTAAATACGTTCAAATTTATTTCCTTGTTAAGATAAGGCATTGAATCAATACCACAAAAATGTGACAATTTAAATGAGACACATGGTATGATATCAGATTTCTATGTATGGGATATATATTTAAAGTATATAAAACATGCCTATGTTAGAATATCTGAAAGGCTACCCGTACTTGCTAGAGTCTAAAATGTTTGGATTAATACTGTTTCACGCTTCTTCTGAAAATACTTTCCCATGGTTAATAACAAGTCATGTAAAAGTTAATACCCTTAAATCACTTGCTCTGTTCTGTTGCTCTTGTAAAATTGTATCTCTGACTGTATTTTTTTAATGCTATGATTTTTAAAGAACACTTCTGTCCTTTCTAATAAGAATTGGATTCATATACCTGTTAAGAATAGTTATTTTAGTTTATACCCCACCATGTAAATGGACATAATATATTAAGTTTGTCATGTCCGTTTTCCGTGGTTCCGTCTATCTGTCTGTCTGGCGCTTAGCTCAGTTCAAAGTTTTAAAGACATTATTTAAACGCGAAATATTGCCCCCGGTAATTTCGAAATATTCTCATACTATGTTCTAATGAACACAATAAGGAGAAAACTAGTTAGATTAATTATGCATAGTAATTGAGTTTTACAGAATGATAGTTAAATTGTTCTTTCTTCTTATGAAAGCAGTAAAATATTTCCGGTACTATTCGTCCAAGAGTTGTCCTGATACATGTATAGGCAGGTTGTACAACAAACTGACAGTAATATAAGAGTCTCTTTTAAGAAGCAATATTTATGCTACCGAATGGTGCGTGGAACAAAAAGATAAAAAATCTACACTCAGATTTTAAAGAGAAAAAAAATGGAGATCATCCTCGGTCTCGAAATGTTAATTGAAAGCTAAAGCTATAAAGCCGAGGCGGTTACATGTATTCTGCATCATTCACGACAACAAGGACTTTGTTTCTATTCTACTAAAAATACGACAGATCTTTTCTAAATAGAGAAACGAATTAGGTCACCATATCCCAAACAGAAAAAACAGCCTATCGGATCATGCTAACAACTCATGTGTAAATCATGGTTTTGATATGATTTCGGTATAGGAAAATTTCACATGCAAATGAGCTAATGGATCATGGTTCTGAGATGATCTGTTAAACTAAACAACTAGCGAGAAAACCATGATCCTGGTATGATCTGTTGGAGAGCTAACAACTCGTATAAAAACCATGATCCTGGAATGATCTGTTGTAGCCAACAACTCGTATTAAAACCATGATCCTGGTATGATCTGTTGTAGCTCACAACTCGTATTAAAACCATGATCCTGGTATGATCTGTTGTAGCCAACAACTCGTATTAAAACCATGATCCTGGTATGATCTGTTGTAGCTAACAACTCGCATTAAAACCATGATCCTGGTATGATCTGTTGTAGCTAACAACTCGTATCAAAATCATGATCCTGGTATGATCTGTTAAATTGAACAATTCATAGGAAAATTCTACTTCTTATACAATTAATTTAACTAAACACTTTGATATTTGCAATAAAGTTCTCTTTAATATTTGATAAATATTTCAGTTACCAAAACTAAAGAAAAATATTATACACATATGTCACATGAACCATGACGTCATATAAATATAATCCCAACAAATGATCTTCCTTAATAAGATGATGATTTAAATATAAAACATTATCCAAACTATTCACTGAATTTTATAAGAACAGAATCACAGAAATCCATTCTTCTTAAAGAATAATCCGGAAATCATTGATATCACTGCTTATTTATGATTCTGCAAAAAGCATATAATTACAACATTTGTTCACTACAGAATCAGCGGAGTGGTGGATCTATTATTCAGAATTACAAACACTGAAAGGGCTCCCAATGAAGTAGTCTATCCTCTGATATAAGCTCTTTAATTGTGTAGCACCCTGAAAAGAAACGTAGAGAAAGTACGTGGTATTTATTTATCGATCAACATATCATTATCTTTAGATCATGAAAATACGTAATATTCAAGTACTTTCCCCATTGCATTAGTGAAAAGAATTAGATTAATCACCAAAAGAATACTATTGTTGAAATGTAATATTATTTACGTACACAAATTTTGTCTTCACCAAAGGCGGGTCTTTTGAATTTGGTAATTTGTATGCAACTCAGATGTTATCATGAAGATGGAAATTAATGTCAATAGCTGCAAAATAATTTCATTTTTATAAATAAACATTTATATAACGATTAACATGTACATGTACAACAAATATTTGAATCAAGGAGGTCAATTTGATGCTTAAATTAAGTTTTCAATTCAAATCCATGTAAGCTTTGCTATATGTCTCTTCTACACATTTACAAAGAAAAAATAAATCATGCACTTGCTGGTAGAAACTTGAAATTGAAAAAAGGTCAATAATAAAATTAATGAATTATACTCACCGAGTATAGAGTTAATAGTCCAGCACTTATTTTTATTGCTTAATATGATGCAAAGGCTTTTCTTTTAAATCGGCAACAAGAAAACGCGCACATCTTGTTTATCAGCATTCAAATTCTGACCTAGATCAGCTGCTAACCACTGTACTACAGCGTGCTGCCCAGCAGGAGAATTGCATAACAAGGTTACCATGACTCTGAAACTGACCAGTGATCCAATCCTAATCTAATGTCTCAAAGTTAGATTGGGAGTGGATCGCAAATATTACATGAAGAGAAAGAGTTTTAATAAAATCCTGACTGCTTTATTTAAACAAAATACATGTGTGCTAATTTAAATATGAATTATTGTATTTGTTTGTCATTTCATTCAACTTCAAAAAAATTATTGTCTTTGTAACTATACCTGTACCTGCTGTGTGCATTTTAATTATTATAACTTAATTTTCCTGTTTTCTTTTAAATAAGACTATTATTGATGTATGCATGTTGTTTAATTCTCCAAGCTAGAGTGAATTTAAAGCTTGCATTTTAACCTATCATAGATGACAAAGTTAACAAACCATATCAGGATCATACAACCAATTCTGACAAAGTTAACAAATCATATAAAACTCATGATTCTCAACAGAGAAGTTAACAGATCATGTGTAACTCGTATCGAGTTTAAAGACAAAGTTAAGAAACCATATCAAAATCACAAACTTTTAGCAGTTAAAGTTAACGAATCATTTCAAACTCATGTTCCTTTGTTTTCTAAGTTAATGGCACATGTCAGAATCGCAAGAAAATCATAGCAGACTCATTCCCCAGAAACAAACCACATCAGGATCATACTTCCTTATTTGTCATCTATAATTTCAGTATGATCCATTTAATGGATCATGTCTAAATCATAGTTCAAAATCATGAATTTGTGAGTTCGATATGATTTGAATGTGATTTTGGCATGATTTGTTAAGAAAAGTTTTTGTTTGGGGCATGCTGCAGTAGCACTGTTCCATTTAGCACCAGAGTGTAAATTAGTTTGTTTACCTATGACTAGAATGCAGACGTCTTGTGCTGTTGTTGCATTAAAATTTGCCTTTTATTCAATATGAATATGTTTGTAGCTCATATCGATTAAAATTCTGTAATATACAATAACAAAATCAGTTTCCTATTATAAACTTTATCACTAAAATCAGGAGCGTAAATATGGCGAAAGGAGATCCGTTAAACAGCCCCGTTTTTTCTTTAGACACCTACATTCATTAGCCACTTTCTGCAATATTACAGTGTTTAAATTAGAAAAGACGACACGTTGATGTGGTCTAAAAAATATATTTTATTTTTAAGTAAACTGTACATTTCAACCGCACAGGTTTGATATGGGTTTCCGATTTAATAATTTTTTGATGACATTGGTGATTTATTTGAGAATATTGTCTGTGGCATTTTGTTTAATCTCAGCAATAATCGTAGTAGAATATACAGTATACTATATACATAGCATATGAATGAAAATGCATTGATGTTTTAGGAGAGTTTTTGGATTATTTCATATTCTGATGGTAGCGTTCTTTGTCCAAGCTCTTCATATGTTTTGTTATCCTCTGTAATTTTTGCAGATATATTATTCAAACCCATCCTTCCTGTGTCAGGTTTAAAGTTATCTTTGAAACATTTTCTGTCTTGCCTTTGTTTTCGACGCCTAGATGTAGATAGAAATTTTCTTTTCAAAAATCAAAAACTTGTGATTTTTTCTTTACTCAGGAACATTTGCAGGTAAATTTTCCATATGAAATCTAATATGAAGAATTAAAGTTAATCAAGAGAGAGAGAGAGACTGTTTGGGCATTTTACTTTTAAAAAAGTTCTTAGTGTTTTCTATATTTTTTTTAATTATATTAATATGTATTGTATAAGACATACCTTTTAATACAGATATAAACAGCCAACACTATTATTACTGTTAAACTAACACAAAAAGCTGCAAGAATTCCGTAAAATCGCACCATACAGTCATTTCCTTTCTCTAAAGCTGCAAAAAAATCTATTCATAACTCAACTGTGCATTATTTGATTATTTAAGGTTAATGACATGCCAAACACACTTGTTTTCTTTCTTATTTTATGTTATATTTGATGATTTAATATTAAGTATGGATTTTAGACAAATGATGGGATTTGAATGTAAAGAACAGAAAGAGCATGAAAACTTTTCGAACACCTTCCATCCAGCCATCCACTTCTTTGGTGTTTGTTACAGTGGTCATATTCATGATGTCAGTCGTGTAATGATCTTAAAAAAAGATTAAAATAAAACTTGACTTTTCTTTTCTTCAGTTTTTGCTTTCATCAAAAAAGACAACCTGTAATAATCGATCTAAAAAAAAAAAATCTACAATTAGACTATGAATAAATCTTCGAACAGAGCTCAATACACAGATCCAGTGAAACCCTGAGGTTGTACCTAGTTATGTTCCCCAAACGAAGTTGGGGAACATATTGTTTTTACTCTGTTTCTTATTATTATTATTATTTTTCTTCTTCTTCCTGGGTACTTTTTTGTCCGGGAGTGATCTTGTAAACTATACATCCGACTTAGGTAAAACCTTTTTAGGGTCAGTAGGCATGTTATGTAGATTTGCGGAACGAAGGTCATTTTGCGCGCACGTGCTTGCAAGAGCGTGCACGTGCAACGCGTGAAATGACCAATATAATAGATATAGCCGTAGCTTTTCTATTTTTGGATGAAATGCTTTGAAACTCATAATGTGACGATATATTAGTAGCATAAACAATATGTCATGGTCAAAATAGCAAGATCTCACGCGCATGCACGTGCGCTTTGCTCTGATTGGCTGAAACTAAAGTCTCAATATCTTTCTTGTTTTTTGACGAAATCCTTTGAAATTTTGAACATAGCCATGCATTAAGATATCCTACAACTCGATATATAGCAATCATCATGAAAACACGTGTATGCACGTGCGCTGCAATCTGATTGGCTTAAACTTTGAAAAGCTATATCTCCCTTGGTTTTCAACAAAACAGGATGGGATTTGGAACATAGATAGATATAATATACTTCTACAAGAAGGTATGGTCAACATGCACATGTATACACGTGCGTGTACGTGCGCTGCAATCTGATTGGCTGAAACTTTAAACAGCTATAACTCCCTTTGTTTTTAACCAAACGGGGTGGGATTTAGAACATAGATAGATGTAATGGAGTTCTACAAGAAGGTATGGTCACCATGCTCATGTATGCACGTGCATGCACGTGAAATAAGTAAAATAAAAAATACACTTAAATGAGAGTATTTTTTAATAATTTTGGATTAAATACTTTAATATTTAGTGTATTAAAATATATAGATTGTGTAGACAAGATGATATGGTCATTACGCACATGCATTCACATGCGCACGCGTGCAATGTTAAAATTTGAATGAACTTGGTACACTTCTGGGTAAACGTTGTTAAAATCTCAAATGCATAGAGTTTGTCTTATTTAATGAAGCTTACAGGGAATATGGCACCAAAAGGGAGTTGGGGAGCGTTTGGGGAACATCTGTAACGGTCCCCGTTACAATTAGCACTAGTTTATCTCATTTTTACCGATCACATATCTTTGGAGAAATATGCATTGAAAAAAAAAATCAAAGTAATCCGTTTTCAGTTTTTTTTTACTATAGTAAACAGGCAAGCTAACATTCGATCCAGTGAAGAATTATGTTTGCTATCAATATCATTAAAATAATAAAAAAAAAATTCGTCATCGATAAATTCCGATGGTAAAATGTTGCAAACTGCAAGGGTTTTATTCTTATCTTTTACAGTCATGTAGAAATGTAAGGGTATATTCTTCTTATATAAGGTATACAAAAAAGAACGGAATATTATTTTTAATCTTCATGTTATTTTCAGAGAAAAACATCTTTCCTGATATAATTTTGGAAACTGAAAATACTTCTTTTAAATGAAATGAATGTACCTTGTTCGCATCGAGGCCCCTCCCAGCCTGGCTGACAACCATCCTCACATTCTCCTGTCCCTTTGTTACATTTATATGGTACTTTACAGTGTTCATTACAATTCTTTTGACAGTCAAAACCGAACTTTCTAGCAGAACAACCTAAAACGTTTTCATAAATCATGCTGTTTCGTTTCCTTTTTATACTTTTCATTCTGGTAATGCTCAAATTAGCACAATAAATTTGAGATATAAAAAAAATACGTCACGTACATGTAATTGGATTGTCATTTAATTTCTATAAAATATTTGATTCTGATTGGTTAAAAAATTGTTTTGATATCTGCATCAATAAATTCTAGAGTTCGCTTGCACTAATCAACCGGAACTACTTTGGCTGTCTTTACATGTGAATTTTCCACTTCCAGGTTACTTTGTGAAGTAATTATATGATTAAATACTTTTACTTTAATAGATATTTTCCTGAATTTTGAAAGCTGTCCGTTACGTTCCTGACTTATTTTCTGCTTTCGGTTCTTTTGAATTACCCCCTTTGCTAAACAAATCAAATTGTCTGCACAAAAGCTATACAGTTCGGGAAAGGAGATAAGAAATCGACATACTTTTGTTAAATGCTTGGCTTTGAGATATCTGGTATGAACATTAGAATTCTTAAGAAATGTTTTTAATGCTACCAAAACGGAGAAACCGTACATCTGTTAAATCTTGGGAATCAAATTATCAAGAGAAACGACACTGCATGATTGAGGACGGAATATTACTTTAAACTTTAAGCAGACTCTTTTAAGTTTAACACTTTATTGAGAGGTTGTGATACTAATTTATATGTTCGGTTTGAAATTCAGATGAAAAGATGCGCAAATGAAATCTAAAATTTCTGTGACATAACGTTAGACCAGTTACACGTTAGAACTGTTAGGATATTTGAGTAGCTTCCCTTTACATTTATTAACTTAGATAACTTATCGTGTAAAATATACCCATTGGGATAACACACCAGGTAGGTTTTTTTGTGTTAAAGGACTGTAAATTTTTTCAGAGAATGTTGATAATGACACGACAATATTTAAGAACGTTTCTTCGTTTGAGCCATTTTGAACTTCAGCAACGTTAACGTTATTGTGGTGTATTCGTAAGTGCTGTTTTGATTAGTTAATTTTAAAGAAAAGAAATAGAAGGTTTCATTCTATTAATTTAAAACCATAATTAATTGATAAGAAATTAATGTAATTTTTTTTCCTTTGATCGATGCGAAGAGAAATTTAGACGGAAAACTTTTTCATAAATTCTCTACGAGCATTGATGAAGTTTTCCTTCCAAATGTTTCTTTGATACATCGATCAAAGGTAAAAAAAAATATTACATTCATTTCCTAAATGAACAGGAAATTACTCGTTTTACAAAGTTGTCCCTCATATCCAGCATCGCATCCTTCAAGGCAAGAACCATTGATGTGATGGCATTGTTTATATCCCAGACAAGCTCCACATGTCTCTTTACAGTCTTGACCATATCTTCCACCCTCACATTCTATTGAAAACGAATTAAATTATAAATAATTATTTGAATTATTAAAAATGTACAAATAGTTTTGTACATTGTATTTTTATAAAGTTTTATTATCATATTGATCTCAAATAATTGACAAATATTTTACGCTTCTTTCAAAATTACCCAGAATGTAACAAATATCATGATGTCTTACTTGTCATATATTTAAAATGAAAATTCATCAACCATGACACTTTTTTCACACATATTATGCGTTTATTATATACTCACGCAGTTCACATTGATGACCGTGGAATCCAGATTTGCATTGTAGACAGGCGCCGGTATTTGCTTGACAGTAGGAATGCTTGCAATTTCTGGAACAGGAAATGGAACAATTTTTTCCATAGTATCCCGTTTTAATGCATCCTAAAAGGAGTTTTCCACTTAAGTATAGTATCTTGGTCCCTTTTTTCCACCTTATTTGACAGAATATACTTGAGAATATGGTATACTTTTTATTTTCATGGTGTATAACATAGTATTTCTGATTAAAATTTTGTACAATCTTTATTAATGACTTTGAGTATCAAGAAATAAAAGCCAATTTTCAACACCTACCCCACATACAAATTCCGGAACATTTTCTTTCGGACAGAGTAAGGTTTCTCGATTATATACACATGGGCGGAGACATTTAAATTAGGTGTAGTATATATAAAGGAAGACAAAGTGAGCAAGAGATAAGAAAAAAAGAACAATGTAGTAGGGTGTAGAATAATGTTCAATAAGGTTGAATTTTATTTTGTACTATTCGTATTCTTCTTAATTTGGCGTTGGTGAGTGGCCTTCTTTTTGTTCTTGAGGTATTTTTGGTCTGAAAATCCCCTAATCACTTTTTAAAAATTTTGAATCTATAAAGGCATCTATCAAATATATTAAACACTATATTAATTTTCCTCCATATGACAATTTAAAAAGTACAAGTGATCAAATAATAAATTACGGTAAATACACACAGAAATACACTTCCTTTCCTTTGTAAAAGGGCAGCTGAGAAAAAATAAAAAATAAACCTGAACAGAAGTTTGATAAATTTAAGCAAAATAAAGAGTAAACTCTTTCAAACTTGAAAAAAAAACGATAATGTAGGAGCTAGTAGGCATCAAACTATTACTCATTTTTATTTGAAAAATAAAACAACAATTTCAATGTGTTTTTATTCATGTTGTACCAGTCTAAAAGCGTAAGAATTTTTTTTGGGGGGGGGGGGAAGAACTAAAGATTTATCACTGAAAAGAAAGGGTCACCCCCTCCCCCTGATACTACATGCCTGACATGTATATTTATTTCTCAATTTTGCTCTAAATTCCGCAATGAATATTCCGATTTACTTATCGATTATTGTTTAAAATATACATGGCGTCTACAAATCGCGTAATATACATGTGTATAATCACTTAAAAAACAGTTGTTGAATAATAGAAACATAATTATTATACTTATATGGATTCTTAATAATAAATATCACAAAATAGGTAAAGGAAATTCAAACTCAATATTCATCTACTTCGTTGCATTAATACATTCGAAGTTTTCCCGAGTTTATATGCACCCCAAAACGTGACAAAAGTGTAGGGTTTCTTTTAATATTGAAGTGGTCAGTACAGTGCATTTGTTTTTATAGACTGATTAAATGTGAAGAAATTGTAACGTCTTTTGTATTTTTGCTTGTTTGCTTCTTTTTCGCAAGAAATTGATTAAATGTGTATTTATATACATCTACTCGTACATTATTGTGTTGTTCGCAGTGACCAGGAAAATTGCGATTACATGTATGAGAATTAAAATATGTCCATCAAAATCACCATTTAAAATTTAAAATGTGTGATATTCTTCGAAGCCTATAGAACCTTGTTTTAAATTTTAAAAAAATAAAAGCTGGTGACTGCACTTTTCAAATACGAGCTACATGTGTCGCTTTCTAGAAAAAAAACACGCTTTCCGGAGGTATTCACCTGTGGCGGAATGGAATCACGTGACATATTATCTATTCTTAGTAGGTCAACAAGAGGTTAATCTTATGTAAATGTACTCACCAAACAGATTCAAAATCATGCTACTTTTAAGTAGAAAACATACAGCGCAAGGTTGTTCAACAAAGATATTTTCACACAATCTGTATTGATATAATATACATATCATATTTTTATCTCGTTTTTGAACAAATCTGCGCTCGATGTTTATGAAAGCTGAGAAGTAGGTACCTGTCTTAAATAAAGGGGTGGGGTGAAAAATATGGGTAAAGAAGGCAAATATTTCTTTGATATATTGTGGCTTAAAAGTTTAAGAAATTTCTTTTGATATTCATGAAAATCAAAGGACCCCACCTTCAAAACACAGCTTCACGTGTTGTCTATTTCAATTATTTAACATTTTTAAACGTTGATGCAAATACTACAGACATGAGAGAGTAATAAAATTTACTTTTTAAGTGTCTTAATGAAAGTTCAAAATTTGACGAGTAACCGGGGACCACAGATAATGCCTTATTGAGACTTCTTCTTTATATCTATATAAAATAATTTTTAGGAAAGACGTTATTTTCTACAATCTGTTATTAATTGTCACAGTGTAAACATTGTTCAAACCAATGCATGCTAGAAACATTTATTAGTTATAAATTACAGCAAAACTTCCTGGCAGGAAAAATGGTGTCTATAATGTAAGGTTTAACAGTTTCAAAAAAAAAAATCAACTAGTTGAAAAGTCCACACAAAAAAGCATCACTTCGAAGAAGAGTGTGAGTCAATGTATACTGTATTTGGTGTAAAGAGGTAAGGTTTACGACTAACCATTAACTTGTACTTCACACAATTCACTGTATGCATCTGCGGAGAACTGACTGGAATAAGGTGAAAGTTGAGGTCTTTCATTGTAGAAGATAACATATTCTCCGTGTACTGGACACTGTATGTCGATAACAGCTGGAATTGTTGCTCTAGTGTAGTTTGTGTCATGAAAACATAGATGACCTTCCAGTCTGTTTGTTGTGTAAGACACATAAACATAGAATCCCAAGAACCTTGCAGTAAATCCATTCGATGAATCTAAAATGAAACAGGAAGCTCATGGGTCACATCGCTCACCTGAGCACTGTGGCTTGGAAAAAGCAAAAAAGAAGGATGAATTAAAATCTTTAATGTATAAGTGATCATAACCTACCCCTAAAATAAAGGCGTGGGGTGGGAAATATGCTTCGAATAGACTTTAATATTAACTAAAAGAAGAATGCTTTAAAAATTTTTTGATACATTGTGGATTTTTCCCTTTAAAAGTGTAAAAATTTCCTTTTTGCGCCACCCTGCTCAAGGGGTCATGGTTAAAACAAAGTACCTGATGCTGCTTCCTTACAAGTAAAACCAATCATTGCTTTGGTGTTCTTGAGATGAAGATTTTCAAGGACTTTTCCTACATATTACTGTGTAAAAATTTAATGGCCAATGTGGACCCACCCTATCTCTGTGGAGCGAACATGGCCCAGTGGTTTTGAGAAAAAGCCGATAATATGAAAAGTTTACAGACAGACGTACAAACGGACGGACAGAAGGACGACAGACAAAGTATGTTCAGAGAAACTCACTTGAGATTTCAGCTAAGGTGAGCTAAAAAACGAAGTAATACTTGAAGCAGGTTAATTTCTCCATGTTTTCTCTCATTTCATGATCAAATTGACTTTTTTTTTTGATAGCATGACTTTATACATATGATCTTAATCTATTATGTTAATTTTAATAAAATTGCCGATATTTATCTGAAAAATAAAATAGAATGATTTATTGTATTTTATTACAAAAGAAAAGCATTATCTAGAATTTTAACCAATTTTTTTTTCAAATCAAGTATATCTCTACAAAAATATATCCCGTTGAAAGACAGTATTTGATAACGAATTGGATAAAGATAGTCGTTGATTTTTTTTTCTCATTTTTCCCTATACAAACATTTAAGGAATGTTTTTAAGCTTTGTGTGAGTTATTGATGTGTGCATTACACCGCCTTGTAACGTAGGCATATTACATGAAGCGCGCTAACGCGCAAGCGCTTCATGAAATGTATGCCTACGTGCAAGTTTGTGTGATTCAAACACCGATAATTCACAATAAACTTAAAAACAGTTCATATATTTAGATTTAACATGTTCGGAACTAACGAAAATATACTAAATTTCTCGCTGACCTATATCATTGCATTTTTACTAATTTCGCTGTAGCCTCATTGTGACGTCACGTTAAAGCACTTTTCTCCGTGTATATTTCTACGCGTGAGTATACACGAAAATGGTTTTGAAATCAATTTCACTGATGGCTTAGTAGAAAAACTCAGCGAATGTAAATATTATCTTATGGATCATTCTATTTTCTCTCCAATTTATTAACAAAAATTTTCATTGTCGATGTATTACAAATGTAGCCATTAATTAAGGAGCATTTTATCCTTAAATAAATTAATGAAAAGTACTTTGTTTCTAGTGGATAGAAAAATGGAAATCAAATTACCCCATGCCACATTGCCTGTTCTGTAATATATCCTAATATCATGGATGCTTCTGATGGATGTCAAATTAACCCACCAGGTGGCAGTTTTATATTCATCAGCTGATATTGAGCATTGTCCTCCTAAGGCTGAGAGATCAGTCATCAGACCGTCGACTGCATTACTGGAGTCAAATGTACTGTATCCCGGATTATGTTGTTGTGATTGCCATGTTGGCTTATTCAAGGCTAAGTTCACTACCGAGAAAAAGTATATACATGTAAATATACATATAAGTGTTGCTTATTTTTATTAACACCACTATAGAATAATTCAAACCAAAAATTCTGCATTTCTTATTAAAATATTCATCGACTCTATTTCAAACTTAATACAGAGAAAGAAGTATATAGGGTAAGAGCCATTTAAGGCCCCATTCAGAAAATGTTTATCTTTACTATAGAGAGGAATATGGCTAGGATGTTACTAAAAATATATAATTTAATTTGATAAGGTGTTCCGTTGCCATGGAAACCGTCGTCAAAAACATACACCTTCAGACCTCTAAATCTGGCATCTAATGCCATTTATTAACAATTCAGCACTTTTTTATTTTGATACCACTATATAGTCTATAGTTAATGATAGTATGTATACTTTGGAATATGTCAAAAAGACTGTTTTACTAAGAAAATATATTTTAATTCATAGATATTCCGTTACCATGGAAACTGTATTCAAACTTATTCCTTATATATGAAATTATGGCTTTATTGACAATTAAGAAATCTGTAAGTTTTGGTAGCATCTATTGAATTTTTATAAAAGTTTATATTTATATTTTTGATACTTTAAGGTGATTCTTTTACTAAGGAAATATACATGTATATTAAATTGATAGGCAATTCCGTTGCCATGGCAACCATTTTGTACAAACTTATTCCTTTAGAGCAGTTTTTGTTGTTATTTACTAAACAATGCAATGTTTAATTTATGTTTTCAGATTTCTTGTTTTTCAAACCATATATTTTTAGGACAAGAAAAAAAAATATTTAACACTTTTTAAAATAAAAAAAAACCTGGCATTTAGGGACGTGGTTGTTGACGGGAAATATCAGAATCAACTTGTCTCTCCTACAATAAGTCTGTCCGTTAATACAGTCCTTTTTGATAATAAATTTGTAACAAAGAAAAACTAGAAGTTTATATTCTAGTACATGCACATGCATATACATTTGATTCGATTTATTCCCGTACCTGGTATTCAAAGTCTTGTGAAAAATTCTTGTACCATAATCATTTATTAAATTTAAGTCACTGTCAGATGAAAATATGAAAAATGCTTATTGATTAAATTTCATCAGTTATCTTTTTACGGAAGAATTTATATTAAAATATATAACCTTTGTATTATTCAGCATTATTTTGCAATATGAACATAAAAAATTGTGAATAGCATTGTCATATTTTAAGTGCAGAAATAAGTCGTGAAACAACATATAGACTTATATACTGTAGACGTCTTTAATTTCACGTGTCTAACATTTCAAGGTTTGTTAGAAAGTTCCCTTTCACGGTGGTTTTAATTTCATGGAGAATCGTTTGTAAATATTCAGGTACTGTGACTATTTCTAGGTGGAAATGACGTAAAATAATAATCGCAAAATATATCGTGAACATAGTTAAATTATATATGTTTTCCACTTCTATATATATATGAATTTTTAATTTATGATTATATAGCCAAAGTGTTGCCCGCGTGGAGCAGTAGTTAGAGGGTACGTCTTTCAAAGAGTCAATCCTTACGTCGCGGATTTAAATCCCACCGTGGACGTGTAGGCCGGTCTTTTATGTGAGTTCGTATAATCCGAGGTCCCGTATGTAGTAGGAAATAGCACAGTTTAACCGTGCATTTCCTCTGAAAGTGTAAATGAGCGCGATTCTAAGGAAGGGGGGTGGTACTCCATGTAACCCGGAGTTAGATACCTGGTGTTATTATTATTATACTATAGGTTAATTGTTTTGAAATCATAGAGGGAGACGGGTGCAATCAGTAAAATATACTGAGTAATCAATAACTTTCTAGTCTAATGCGTCTTCGATAAAAAAAATAATCTCAACTAGTGCAGTGTACTTTTTGGAGATTTTTCCAAAAGGAAGTACATGTACAAGTAACAACCTTGACTGTGTTACGAACTACGAAGGTATCAATGTCACATGCCACTTTTTCAACACTCAAAACAAATGTATTTTAAGGCCTTCTATCTGTACAGTCCGGACAAGAAAATACAATGTTTTTACTTATTAATTAAAATAAAAAGGCAATAATTAAAATATTTAAACAAGAAATAATAATAAAATTAAAATGGTTTATCTAAAAAAAAAATCAATGTTATGTTGAGTGCAACCGCAGTAATCAGTAAAAAAAAATGTTTAAAGAAAGGGTATTTATTTGTATGACTATATATGTACAATGTATAATGGGTCCTTCGTATTACAACTAAGTAGACCTAATTAATTTAATAATTCACACTTTGTGATAATTTTTTTAAATAACAACTTAGCTCTTAAAATTAAGAAATTAAATTAATGAATTAGGCTATTAGAATTAAAAATGTGATGCATTTTAATTGTTATGTAGCACCATGGCTACAAAAATAAAATGTTGATTCAAATGTTATTTTTTATTTAGGCCTATTTATCATTTTTATTTTGTACATATGCATAAGTTATTCATGCAATAAAATTAAATTATAGAAATATTTATATTATTTTTGTTGCTTATTTGTACTCAACATTTATAGAAAAAAAAACATTTTAGTTGGTTTTATTGTAATTATAAATGCCCCGAACTCCCTAAAATAATTGAGTTTTTCGGAAAAAATGAACATTTTTACACGTCTGGTTGACCGTACATTTGTTGCCTTGTAAACAATGAACGATACGGAAAGAAATGACAACGAACATGTAAATATGCACACACAATGAACGTATTTTTATATGATCAAATAATTTTTAAAAAATGTATTCTGTTTATATTACTTCTGTGAACTATTTTAATGTACAGTAGACGAAGTTCAAACGATTCGAAGATCAAACTCGATCATCATATGTTCCTTGTGGTCCATACATTCACACTTCAATGTCGATCCCGAACAAATATATTCATCAATCTCAAATATGTATCAAAACAGAAATGTTTAGAGCTTTATGTTGGAAAAAAATACATGAAGGAATCGATAGACGATGTTCCTTCGAAAAAAAAAATCAACACATGTCAACAACGTCGTCGTTTCTCTCATTTTCCGCACATGCTTGTGACGTCACGTGTGTCAGAAAAAGCTATTTTTATCAAGATTTTAAAAAAAATTTTAAGTGTGTGCGACTTTATGAACAAGTTTATTTTTTTGAATGAGGACTTTCTTTGAAAATATCTTTTACATGTGTAAATATCTTTCTTTTTCAAGACGTCGCACATACCTAAAATAGTCGATAACGATGCTAAAAATGGCACTTTTGGCCGATTACTTCAAATAAGTAACTCTAAACCTTAAATTCTCTGCAAATTACTTAAATCAATTTATCAATTTAGCCTTAAAAGAAAAGTATAAAATTCTAATCTTTCAAAAAATATCTTTTTCATTGAGGTTAATTGGCGTTTAAATTGACACAAAAAACGGGGACCAAATTATAATAGAAACCATATATAGTTCTTTCTATACTTTTTAACACAAATAAAAAGTTATATTTCAACTTTTAAAATATTAAAACATTCACTTTACCATATCCATACGCTGTAATTAACGTTGTTAATATAAAACACACTTGTAGCATGATGCGTAAACAGACCGGTCAATGAGGAAGATAATGCACTGCGTTCTTTGGTATCAACCTGATAAGCAGGGCTATAAAGATATCAAGTAGTTTTTTATCTGCCATCTTGTAGTACCTGTAAATGACAAGAAGCAAACATTGTTTCCTTGCTGATATGGGGTGATTGCAGTTTGGGGATAAAAGACTACAGTAAATATTTTCCACCTTTTGATTTCACATAAATAAAGGTATTTCTGAGGTTGTAAGCTCACCAAATGCACAAAATCAATACTGTTATCTATGGTAGTTATTTTCACCTATAACTCTCATCAAATAAACACATAAACAAAACACATAACTTCTGCAATAACCTTTAAGCATAGCTTATAATTTATTTAATTTATTAAATTCAAAACAATACACAAAAATTTTCGATTGTCATCTTTAAAAACATTTTGTATACACAAACTGCACAGCCAATACGACGCTGCACCAGATTCATAACAACGTCATGAATAGAAATCTCCATTTTCAGTAAATTCACATGTGTTTTTAAATTCATGTCTTGTCTCCGAATTTATAAACACTGTTGAAAAATCGTATAAACCAATCTCAAATCGATGGACTAAGTATATTTCAATAATTTTGAGTTGTTTTAACAAATATTTTGTCTCTGACGTCGTTTCAACCATACTGAAACTTATTTGTTTTGATCGTGCGCTGTCCCGTGCGGATGGCCGACGTCGCTTTTCTGTCTATTTTTTCACATATTTGTCAAGGTTTTTGTTTAGTATTTGTACTGTATATATAGTCAGCGATATTTAAGATATCATTGAATAATTATGGCCTCTTCATTTGTGTTACATATTTTTTTTTTTACTTCTCTAATATAGAAAATAATCATTTTAATCCTAACACTTTATATTAGAGTTTATGTTAAGTTTTTGTTTAGTATTTGTGCTGTATATATAGTGAACGATATCTAAGATATCATTGAATAATTATGGTCTCTTTATTTGTGTTACATAAAAATTTATTATTTTTTTTACTTCTCTAATATAGAAAATAATCATTTTAATCTGAACACTTTATATTAAAGTTTATGTCACTTTCTGCGATTTTTAAAGACTTAGATTTTTAAAGAAATATTACGTTCCATCAAAATAAAATTTAATCATTCAGACTTGTTTTTCATAAAAAAAATATGTTGATATACAATTGATTTATATAGAATCATTTATTTTCACAAAAACGTCATTGTCCAAGAACTTTTTGGATAGTCTTTGTAGAATGGTAATAACGATTGTTTCAGTGGTGGCTGATGTTTACAATAAAAAAAACAGATTGTAATAATTTCAGCCATCGATGTCTCCATATGAGTGAAAAATTCTCCAAAAAGGACGTTAAACAATATACAATCAGTCAATCAATTACAGCCATCAACCTCTACAACAACTGTTTGATTTCTTCTAAAATTTGTTTTAGAAAACACTAAACTCAAATTCTTTGCTGCTTCGTTCATTGTATAATAAACGATGAGATGCACAGTGGATTCAAGATAATACTTATATGCTGCAATTCTTCTCCTATACTCGGAAACACGGGGCCTTAGAGCAAGAAAGGATCATTTTCATACCAGAAACTACTGCGAATCCGAACCTCAGTTTATACGGTCTCATTCAAATGTCTGGTCTCCACGTCCCTTGCTGGATTCGAACCTACGATGCCAGGATCATCTCCTCCCTTCACGATTGTATTTGGTAATTATTATATGGACATATCCCTCTAAATTTCACTTCCAGTTGTTTGTATTACCCATGCCCTCGTACATATTGTTGTTTCTTTATTTTTATTTAAATTATCCGCATATTTTAATTGATTTATTTGACTTTGATCTTTATTGTGAAAAAATAGAATAAAAAAGATTTTGATATAGTTCTAGGCATTGACAAAATCAAAGTGATTTTACGGTATACATTGAATTTCATGAAGAGGCAATGGCAATGTTGATTGCAAAACGGATAAAATAATACTAATAATATACAAGATATAACGCTCAGTCATTTAAATGACATAAAATTCCATATTTTATGCACGATATGGTTAGGAGTTTAAAAGGAAATAGCATCATAAGCTTTATCAATCACTGAGTTATATTCACTATATTTTTTGGGTAATTAAACTATTTAAAACTCCCCTAAGTAGATGTTTATGTTTCAAAAATGAAAATCAAACAAACTTAAGGTTTACAGCATTGTTAAGGCTGCATTAAGGGGGCAGGACTTAGTTTATAACAGAAAAGATTACATTTACTATGACAACCCACATAAAAAACATGTTTTATTACCTCATCAAACCAGAAAATGAATTAATTTGCAATTATTAACTATCCATAGTAACAAGCAAATTCAAAGAATTGTGGTCTTCCGCTTTCGGTGTCTTTGTGGGTGAGATGTCAAATGTGAACGCCCTATCGAATGTCATTAAGAAATTATCAAAGTTGATTTTTTTTTCAAAATAAGGTCAATCGTGAAAGCCAAGGTCAAGGAGTCAGAAATCATAGCATGCTTGGAAATATCTTGTCATAGGGAATACACACGTCAAATATGAAAGCCCTATCTCTTCTCAATCAAAATTTAAAAGGAACAAAATGAGTTTGTGAAACATTGATGACCCCGTATGGCAACAAAGCAAAGATTAAACTTTTTAAAAATGTAAATTAAATATATTTGTAATCAAATTTTTAAAAGTAGGTCAAACTGCAAGGTCAAGGTAAAAGGGTCAAAGTTCTTAGTATCCAGTGAAAGGTCTTCTAACAAGGATTACTTATGTGAAGTATGAAAGCCCTAGCCCTTACCATTCAAAAGTTAAGGCCAAGGTTAAATCTTTTAAAAAGTAGGTCAAACTCCAAGATCAAGGTCAAAGGGTGTAAGTGCTTGATATCTAATGAAAGGTCTTGTCAAAAGGATAAAATATTTGAGGTATGAAAACCCTAGCCCTAACCCTTCACAAAAGTTATGGCCAGGGTTAAAGTTTTTAAAAGTGGGCCAAACTCCAAGGTCAAGATCAGAAGGTCAAAGTTCTTGGTATCCCATAAAAGGACTTCTCTCAAGGATTATATATATGAAGTATGAAAGCCTTAGTCCTTGCCGTTTTAAAGTTATGGCGAAGGTAAATGTTTTTTCATAAGTACAGAAATCTCCAAGGTCAAGGTCAAAAGGTCAAAGTTCTTGATATCTAATGAAAGTTCTGCCACAAACAATATATATGTGAAATATCAAAGTCCTAGAATCTACTGTTCAAAAGTTATGCCCAAAATAAAAAATAAATTTTTGTGTAAAAGGGGGTCAAACTCCAAGGTCAAGGTCAAAAGGTCAAATTTGGTGGTACACAAAGAAAGGTCTTGTCACAAGGAATACACATGTGAAATATGAAAGCCATAGGTCCACTCAATCAAAAGTTATGGGCAAGGTTAAAGTTTTTGTGACGGACGGACAGACAGACAGCTAGACAGACAGACAGACGAATGAGATTTAATGTCCCCTCGCTTTCGCGAAAGCGGGGGACAACAAACAAAACTAACAATTACCAATTCATTAATTTATGTTTAATCCCCCAAAGAAGTTTACAAACAAATTACTAATTGCAATCAACGTGTCGAAATAGTGTCATTGTGGAAAAATGACGAATTCTATCCGCTGTCATCCTTTTAATACAATTGTACAAACGTAAGTAATGGATATATGACGAATATTGTTCAATATGTAAAATAGTATGAGGCATAAATCTTACTTCAAAAATTGTCATTTAAATGTCCAAAAATTACCTGGAGGAGTCCGATAATAAAATAATGGAAGTTTAGGCATCCATTATTTCCTACCCGTCTGATAAGTAGATAAAAGAAATGAGACGGTAAAAATGTGAGTGAATTCTTGTTTCATTAATGATTATTTAAAATTATTTATAAGACCTTCTGCAAGACTTCAAAAGACTTTGAATCTTATAAAGATGAATAAAATGGAAATTGTTGCATTAAAAAAAATTCATTTTCAAGCTTCATTTTGATGTATTTCAAATTAAATGTTAATTTTTGGAGTTACCCTTCCTGGCTGAGGATCGGATATCCTTAATGACAGTGGTTTCGTTTAGCAGGACAGAGGTCCGGTGGTGAAAGATTTTTTGGGGCAACATTTTTGTTTATGATGTGCATAAATTGACATTGATACTGACATAATTTTTTGTAATTTTCACCATGGAAAGTAAAATGCGGATTTTTACCCTAGCTGAAATTTTAGCTCAGAATATGGAAATTTTCAGGTTTTGGAAGTGTGGCCATCTGGGAACAAACATAAAAGAAGATTGAAGAATCTTTTTTTTCCTGACCTTGTTATTGGGGGTTTCTAGACATATTTAATCTTAATTTCACTCTTATTTTTGTTTTCTAAATACCGTCCGATTTTGTTATCATTGCTGTCCGATGATATATTATCAGACTGGTAATTATTATTATCGGACAGGTACAGGTAAATTTTTAGACTGCAAGTACAAAGGCTTGACGTCACAGCAATGTTTTAAGACTAAATTAAACCTTAAAGAAATCGATTCCCGCACAGTAGACCTGATATTCTCGCTTCATACAATATCCGAATGCACCATCACATGTACATGTTTTGAGTTCCAATCTGCTACAATCGATTTCAAAAATCGCACTCAAACACTCGTTAAGAAAATACAGTAATTTCTTGTGTATTTAAATGCCTCCTTTCCGAATGAAATCGTCAAGATAAATTAATATCTTTTCCAAATCCCTTTCGAAACATATTCATATGCTCATACTGGTGTCAAACGTGAAGGAGAAATAACATATATTTCGATTAATTAATTTATTTTTTTTTTATTTTTAATAAAAGGTATTGATAAAGAAAATATTGAAGTTTAACTTACATTGTAAAGATGTATATTCAATTTAATACCGGAAAGTCCTTCTTTAAGATTCATTAACCCCATGTTTATTCATTTAAAATGCTTTTTTTTTAACTTTTACGATTTTCTAAACGAAATGTTCTATATGAGCCTAAATACACCCAAGAAATTTCGCCTTACCTTTCATATATGACTGCTTGAGCTAACCCATTGTATTTCGTCATTTTCTATAATTCATCTTTAAAGCTCATATGGTATGAAAACAACTGTTAAGCATTATTGTTCAGAAAGAAATACTTTAAGTTGCATATGTATATGTTTAATCATGCAACTTTTAAAAGCTGTCTTACGACAAAAAAAATGTTATGCATAAAACAAAATTTTGGGCTTAGATTCAAGAAAAGGAAAGCAATATCTTATGTTTTTTTTCGTTTGAAAAACTAACGAATTGATCTACTTATATCGAGAACGTGGAGAAAACAGGTACACATGTAGAAGGTCCCTAGGCCCGAATCTTTATCTTTTCTACAAAAAAATGTATGCAAATAACTGGTAGAACATTTCTTTGAAAAAAATTAAGTAGCACATCAATTTGAATTTTAAAAAAGATACTTTCCTATAAAAATAAAAAAAAAAGCAATTAATTAAATTTAAAAACAATTAACGGTTTTGGTCATATCACAGATCGTAATAAAAATGGCAAACTGATTAGCTACTTTAACCAAATTAGCTTCACAAAATAAAAGCAATACAGATCAAAGAAATGTACTAAGTACATGCATAATATTAGATTGATTACGTAGAAAACAAGAGAGAGAGAGAGAGAGAGAGAGAGAGAGAGAGAGAGAGAGAGAGAATTTGCTTGGTAATGAAAAATCAAAACTGCTCCCCTTTTTCTAGCATTATGATTGATTGACTGTATATTGTTTAACGTCCCTCTCGAGAATTTTTCATTCATATGGAGACGTCACCGTATGCCGGTTAAAGGCTTCAAATTTAGACCTATACTCGGCACTCAGGGCTATTGAGCAGTGAGGATTTTTTATCGTGCCAGCGTATACCGTGACACGGGACCTACGTTTTTAAGGACACATCCGAAAGACCCGTGACTTTCACTTCTGATTGATGCCGAGCGCTTTGCGAAGGAACAGTCATACCTATTTTTACGTCTTAGGTTCGACGCGGCGCTGCGATTGAGAATATAACCAGGGCCTCCCGATCGCGAAGCGAACGCTCTACCACTAGGCTACCGTGAACGGTTCCCTAAAATAATGCGATGCGCATGCTCTAAATCACTTATTAACTTCTACTTCTACCGCACTTGATCCCAAAATAACACTCTCTTTCTCATTTATTGTAACACGCCACGATCATGTGTTTGAACGGTGTGGATTTCAAACATATTCACCTCATGTTGGACTGAGTCTTAAAGGATGGAACTTAATATTTCTTTTTCACCATCACATGTTAGAAAATACCAGATGTTTACATGCTAACGTTGGTAGGCTGGTGTAATAATAAAAAAAAGACAAGACTCACGGCAGGAAGATATTCTGTATTATACTTCGACTGTCCCATTATGAGGGGTAAAGAATCAAAACAGTTAGATAATATTAAGGTCCTCGCTTTGGAAGCAAATTAATACAACTGGTTGTTTACAGATAGTTGTCTTTATGTTTTTATTATTGTACAAGGTAGACGTTTTTGGTCAGATTTCAATCAGAAAAGATATAATGGCTGAGAAAATTTCGGACCTTTTTGACTTCGGAAAGGTAATGATGCTATCTTTCCTATGCGGAATAAGTAAATATTGATAAAAAAAAAGTTTATTACTTGTGAGATGGGATAGTTACTTTCTGCATCATTCATTAAGTGAAATTATTATAATGATTCGGTTAGATTACTTGTATTTCCATACTTTTACTTTGTTTACTTGGATTTGATTTATCTCTTTACTTTATGTATAACAAGAGAGTAATGGAAAAATGCATTTTATTTCAGTTTTTAGCTCACATGAGCTTTTCTGATTAAATAGGAAAAATGGTTAAAATACTTTACAAAGCCATCATGAGATTGATCATCAATTTAAGAGCATAGAAAGGGTAATGTAGATTTGAAATTCAGGAGAACAGATGAGCTACTACGGCTATATCAATAAAAAGATTCATTTCATAAACAACAAATTAATAATGTTTCACAAAAGCATTCTGGGGAAGTGTAAAGAACACGGTTCACTTTTGCTTTATTTGGCCCTGTGAATTTCTAAAAAAACTGAAACAGAATAGTTTTAGTTAACAATGCATTAAATGTCAATGAGATCTTTGGTGACTGCATATCTATAAAAAATGACGTCATTTTCTGGCTAGTCAATGCATTATGACGTCACGAAATGCGTCAATTTCCTCATATTCTGAAAAAGTCTACAAAACGGCCAATTTTTAAAGCTCTTTTTTGATATTTGACATAGAGCGCAACCTCTGATCTAAAATATGCAACTAGTAAATGATAGAATTATTTCTGAGGTTTAATGGACATGTTTTATTTTTTAGATCAGAGAGTGCGCTCATATTACTTTTCTTCACTGTAAGTACTCAATTATGCCTGTTTATCTAAAAATTCTAGAACATTGCAATTTCACAGCTCTCCTAGATCTGGACTTTTAGAAAAATTTTTTAAATAGGATATGAAAGCACCAAGTCTCTTTTTTAATTTAGTACTTCAAATAGAATATCAAGTGTAGATCAATAAATTGGGATATCTACAGGGCCATTTTATGCATAAAGTGAACCGACTTCTTTAAGTTTGTTTAAATACCACCCCCTCCCAAGAACCCATTTATAGAATATTTATATACTATTCAAAACTGATCTAATTTTGCTTTTATTTATCGAATTGCTCAAGTGAGCGTGTTGCCCCTGGGCCTCTTGTTTGGTGATGGATTCAAATTGTAGTCATTGTCTCTTTTTTCGATTTCAAATGTATGATCTTTTCTATCAAAAAAATTAAGCATCTTGTCAATGCTTACAGCATACAGTATACCGCCTTAAATAGGCGCAAAACAACAGTGTTGCGTCTTATATCAATAATTGGATACATTGCAATATGTTAAAAAAGGTATAGTTTTGCAATTCATATTGTTTTGGCATTGATATATCACCAAAAGTGATTAGGCTTCTGATTTCGAAAGTAAAGTGTGAAGTAAAAGGTATCAAAAAGGAACTTTTTCGTGCCAACGCATAATATGTCACAGGGCCTCGGCTTATACAGTCTCATCCAAAGGCCGCTCTTCATGTCTCTGAATGGGATTCGAACATTTGGCGTAAGGATCAACTCCTTACTGCGTGACTCTAGATCAGACGCTCTAACTATGGCACCCACCTCATTGTTTATAAATTTTGGTAAATAATGAAAGATGAGATCTGAGATCTGATATTTAAATTATTTAAATGTATATCTCTATTCAGATAATAATATTGCAGTTTACATGTATACTAAATTCAAATCGGATTCCCAACACCAATTTATAAGTACACAATAAAAAACTTTGGAGCCGACTGTCTAATGCATCTATTTTTTAAACATATACCGGTATTTTATTACGTAAATTTTAAGTCATTTTTTCGATATATCAATTTGTCTGACCAAAAGCATAACTTATTTGTAGCTGTCATGGTCTGTCACTTAAAATTAATCTATTTTGATTTGATGAATTAGGCATTTGACTCTTTATATTTATTCGAAGTATTGTTTTTTAGTATTTGACTTACACTGCAGAAGAACTTCCAGAAATCATTTCAAATATCATGTTTGTTGAAGTTTAAAGGTACTTAACCAAATATGCTATTGATGAGGGAAGAAAAATTGATCGTAACGTGACATGTACTATATTCATATATTTGTATTACATGATGTGCTATACGATGTATGCTGTTTAATCAAAACAACACCGTGGGGATCCGGGTTAGAATAGGTCTTCAGTACCACCCTGCTTGTCGTAAAAGTCGACTAAATGGGGCGGTCCTTCGGATGAGACCGTATAAACCGAGGCCCCGTGTCACAGCAGGTGTGGCACGATAAAGATCCCTCCCTGCTCAAAGGCCGTAAGTGCCGAGCATAGGCCTTCACCGGCAATGGTGACGTCCCCATATCAATGAAATATTCTGAAGAGGGACGTTAAACAGTATACAATCAATCAATCAAAACTATTTCAAATTCAGGTTCCTCGGTAATTAATCTCCGATTACAAGGGGAATGCCATTAAAATGCCCTATTTTCTACATAATTCTGCTCAAGCTGTAAAGAACAGGAAAAAAAGAGAGTTGAGCACTTAGAAATTAGTCTAAAGTCACATACTAGATATTGATCTTAAAGATCTTTTTTACGTTTGTTTTATAGGTTGAAGTAGTGCTAAACATCAATCAGCTGAAAAGAGGCGATCACATATTTTTACATCGCTCCTTTGGAATACACCAAGCAATAATAACAGATGTAAACAAAGAAACAGAGGAATTTGAAGTTATTGAAATTAGGAAAGATAAAAATCAAAATCCCGTTATTAGACCAAAAAGAAGCACTCAAAAGCTGACAAGGTGTAGAAAATGTATGTATGCATATTGTCGGTACACTTATCCCGGCATTCAGAGAAATAGCCCAGATTTAACGGTTGCTCTAATTGAAGCTTGTCTCGCAAAAAATGATACCATAAAGTATGATTTGTTTTTAAACAAATGCTACCACGTTGCTGTTTTCTGTGCTACTGGATATCCCTACAGAGAGAAAATAGAAAAACTAGGAGAAGGTTCGACTATTACAGAACATGTTGGAAGGATCCTTCAAACACTGTTTGTAGGTAACTAAAGAGCTTCCAAAATTGGAAAGAGCTGGACAGATAGCTTCAGAAAAAAAGTGTCAATTGGTTAACAGCAAAATCTGACTGTTATTAACTCTTTACAACTTACAGAATTGCAATGCATTATACATTGAATCCTCGCGTCATAGAAATATTACTTCACCATTTCCCCGCAAGCAATTTATAACGGGGTACAAATTTCTCTAAAGTTTAGCATATATAATATTCTGAAATAATATTTAAATTAGAAAGTTTCATGAGGTTTAAACAAGTATAAAATAGTTTGAATTTGGCAAGAGATTGGCAAGAAATTGAAGAGTAAATAAATTTTTTAAAGTGCGTGAAAATGAGAGATTGCGGGGAAACGGTAAATACGTGATTTTGCGTTAGAAATAGAAAATAGTATATGCGGTAAAATGCGTGACTGCGGGGAAGGGTGTTAAAAGCAAATTTGAATTGAACAATAAAGCACAACGTAATTCTATTCATGTTCAGAAAGTGTTTAAAGAAGAAATTAGTAAAAATCAAATTGCTTTACATGAAAACCCGTTTATATGTTATTGTAATTTTGAAATAAGAAGTGAATTTTCATGATATCTTATAAACATTATTTTTTTTCAAACCATTCGTTATTTAGTGTTATGTTATATAGTGAACTTATAAATAATAAAGTTATTATTTTCCAATATTTTATATTCGGTTCATATGCTTTATTTCCGTTGAATATTGAATACAAGTACAATTTTTATGCAATTGATTACCCGTCATCAAGTCAACATAGAACAAATGTTTCCTAAAAATTAAGATGAATATTTCTTATTAATATAATACATACGCAATTTTGTGATTTCATTAGAGAGTTGTATGAGTTGAAAATGTAATAATGTGATGTTTTTAAACTTAAAGAAAATGGTACTAATTGAAAAATCATTGCTGCATGTAAATTGTTTCCTTTACTGAAGTGAGATAAAATGTCAATATTAAATCTACAACATACACACAAAAGGAAAGACGGCATGGACTTTGCTCCATAATTAGCCAAACATAATGCTACAATGAATAAGCTTTTCTTCCCATACATTTACGCACCATATAAATAACATAATACTACCTCTTGCAAACCAATGGTGACGAACGTTGCTGTTATAGAGGCAAGTAATGCTTCCTGATTTAATTCGATGTTTAGAAAAACAAGGAAATTAAGGTATCTTATTTCGATAAAAGTATTATATTGCTATTAACATTTTCTTCTATAATCTTTTTTAATTGCAAGCTCGTCTTTCGTAAGAAAAAAAACCTGCACAATTAGAAACTAATTGCAGAAGTAATTTTAAACGTAAAAAAATCTAAATATGACATTAAGTAGAATCCTTGTTACAATGTGAATAATCTGACGTTATTTTTTTTTGGCATTATTTTCTTTTATCGAATGTTTGTTGAATTGAGAGTAAAACTCCCTCTATTATAAAAAAGGAAATATTTTCCTATGATACAGATATTGTACTTATTTTTGGAAAGGTCAAGACCAGTCAGGTAATATATCTGGTTGTCTCTCTTAGAGAGCATGTAAATATAACTAGTTGCTGCAAATTTATACAAGGGATCAATCTTCTTCGTTCAGATTTCAGATAGAAGAAATAAAATGGCCGAGAATCTTCGAGACCTATTTGACTTCAGAAAGGTAATGATACGGATTACGTTCTTTTGGGGGTCTAGACTTGTACAGAGTGAGATTGGAAAGTTACTTTTATTTTATTCGTTGGGGTACAATAGCTAACGGTTTAATACTTTAATGTGTTTGTTTTGTGTACCTGAACAGCATTTATCTCGTTATTTTCTGCACAATTAGAGAGTATCCAATTAGAATTTCTATTCACAGTAGGGTATCGGATTTAGATTTTAAACGCGTATATTATTGATAAGGCTTGGAAGGAATGCATTTGTTTACTAGTCATTCAATGGCATAAGCAGTTTAAGAAAAAAAAGAACTTCCATGGACGTTGTTTAAAGGCGTGGCGTCCTTTTGGGGGCTCTGTTTGAAGTGTTTATTTTTTATCTTAGACAAATAAAGCTTTATAGGATGTTGTACTCTGACCTACTGTTCTTGACATTGCTACTGAAATTGGAACATCATATCAAAAGATGGGGATTATTTTGAAATATGAGTGAAACATTAAGATAAGTTAGTGCTAGAAGACACCCAGTCTTTTCTTTAGAAAAAAATGGAGAAAAGGGCAGCATTTTGTAGAATTTACTTAATCCTATTTGAATCAGACATTAGGGTGAGATACTTTTATAACGTAACGTGACATTTCTTAAAACATTGCATCGAAGTCTCCCTCTGGTTATCTATTTTCTATAACTAATAAACTATCCATTTTTTTAAAGCTCTGGAGAATTGGAATTTATTTTTTGCAAATATTGTTGCATTATGACTCGATATTATAAATATGCATGTTGTTTTCTTTCATCAAATAGCGATAAAATGTAAGAAATTTTACGAACATTTGTATCAATTCTCGTATTTTTTTTATAGTGTATAGTGTTTATGTATAGTGTATTTCTCAAACAGGGGAGACAATACATAAAAAAGGAAACAATGACAAAATGCATGACATGATTTGTTCCTTAAGGTGTATTCAGTTCAAAACTATTTCAAATTCAAGGTTTCAGTGACCCTTGTTTGTAATCCAAATTTATTCTAAAATAAAAAAAAAGATGTTCATGAAGAGGTAAATATTTATGAAGGTGAATATACAGCATGTGTGTATTTGATTTTGTTCATAGGCGAATCAATTTAATTTCTTACTTTTTTTTTATAGATTGCAGTAGTGAAAAATATCAATCAACTGAAAAGAGGCGATCATATAATATTAAATCGCGCTTTTAGTTTTCATTATGCAATTGTAACAGACGTTAACAAGGAAACAGAACAGTTTGATGTTATTGAAATTAGAACAGATAAAAATCAAACTCCCGTTATTAGACCAATTAAAAGCACACAAAAGCTGACAAGGTGGCGGAAATGTATGTCTGCAATTTGTCGATACACTTACCATGGCGTTCAACGGAATAGTCCAGATTTAACGGTTGCCCTGATTGAAGCTTGTATCGCCAAAAATGATGCCATAAAGTATGATATGTTTTCAAACAAATGTTACCATGTTGCTGTTTTCTGTGCTACAGGATATCCATATAAGGATAAAATTGCACAGCTGGGAAAAGGTTTGACAATTGCAGAACAGGTAGAAAAAATCATGCAAACATTGTTCATAGATTCCTGTGACTGAGGAGCTTCCTCAAGGACAAGTTGCAATTGGTGCCAAATTAGCGCTGTGTTCAATACAAAAAAAATAAATGCTCAAAATATAGAGCGTTTATATTTTCATTAAATTATCAATTTAAATATATTCATGCAAAAATTTCTATTTACCACGAATTAGATAGAATTGTTCTTAGTTGAATAAAATATATCGGAAAAAGTAAATGGTAACTAATTTTTTTTCTCTTCAATATTTCTTTATCCATAAAATGATTTGACTGGGAGATATTATATGTTGTGTTTGTTGTCAAATAAAGTAATTATACGAGGGGCTATCAAAAGGTTAGTAAACTACATGTAGGGCTAATAAATTAATACTATGTTTTCCGAGCTTACAAAATTTATACATAAGGAACATAAAACAACAAAAAATAAAAGAAATGTTGAAATGTTGATACATTCATTTTTTCAAAATGTTTAATTGAATAAACACGACGTTATATGATCATCTGGCGTTGTCGGTGCTTTTTTCATGACGTCCGATAACGTCATTATTTTTTTAAGTCCGCTTCTTTTCATCGTTCACTTATTTTGATGATATTCCCTAAAGCCGAGTAACGATCTCAACCCGTCTTGTTTTTATGACATTATAATGTCTTGAACAACTTACAGCTTTCAATACATATATTATTGCAAATGGATTTATACATTGGGAAAGATCCTCGCTTGTTTGTATTAGCATATTTATTTTTTGGATTTCAATATAGCTAAAACACATGATCAACGTCATAACCTAGCTTTGTATCCCTTTTCTCTCCGAGTCTATTTAGGCATTAAAAAACAGGTAATGCGGATGAATATTATTTTCCTCGTAGCAAGTTTAAAGATTCCTAGGTGTATACCAGTTTTTCCAGGGGCAAAACATAATAAAAAATAGGAAAAGGACCCCCTCCTCTTTTTGACGTTAGTTTCAAGGCAATATTTGTTTGGATACTCCATGTAAAATTTACAAGAAAACAAAAATTCTGTATTTGATGGAACAATAGTGTCCTAATACGTATCTGAATTAACGGAATATTTGGATGTCAAATTATAATATATAAAAATAGCTTATCTTAGTTAGTAATACACTAAGGTCGACAAAAACGTCGTTTTCTAGGTTGCGCCGCATGAACAAACCATTGCTTACAATAATTCATAATTTGCTGTTTATTCTATAGATAGAAAGATGATGATAACTAAATATTTGAAAATTCATTGACGTACCAAAAGCGGTTTTAATTTCATGGCGTTTGTCTTCGAACTTTTTGATAGCGCTTTGTAATGTTGTAAAATATTAATGAAATCTATTAATTTCAATTTCTTTCCATTGAGCATTCAGCAACATTTATTTTATTGTTTGATTTGATAAAATTATTGCATTCTATGCTTATAGATTAAAATGATTGAAAATGAAGTGCATATTGTATGTACAACTGTACATAAATATCCCATTATAAGCTCTGGTTTTCTGTTGGAATGATGATGGTGACCGGAATGAACCTTAAACAGATGAGGATAACCCAGATTATTTATTATGTAAAACAGCATTTTTGTGTTGATAAACACCAAGAGATGTAGTGAATCTTGGAAGCAGATTGAAGAGCTGACTACATTTTGAACAAAATACAGAATATACAAACAATTAAAGTAAATCGTCCGAATACAGTTCACAAATGTGTTAAAAACAATGCAATGAAACAGGTAAAAAGAACATTTATAACTATCCTTTAAAAATGATTTCGAATGAGGCATTGAGCAAATGACGTTTTAGTAATTCGTAAACAAGAGAAACGTTACCGGGTTTTACTTAAGCCTAATAGTAGTCTACGTGCATTCTTCTTTTAAAATAAACTTGAATTATGTCCTCATACATGCAAAATGTGGTGTAGAATTATAAGCTGCCAGGTAATATAAAGGTGCGTTTCCCTTTCCTGATAAAAGGAAGAAAATCACTGATTCGCAGTTCCAAACACAAGAGATAAATAAAATGACTGAAAATTCATATCACCTTTTCAACATCCGAAAGGGAAATATACTTTTTTTTGTTTGTTTGTTTTTTTATTTAGTTTTTTGTTTGTTTGTTTTTTTTTTTTTGCTTGAAAGATTGGACAATAGTCATCAAGATAGTCGGACCTGTACAAATTGAGATAGTAAAATTACTTTCTGTGGAGTTCATTAGGTTGAATTAGAGTTTGATTTTTAAGGTATAATATTAAAATAACGGATATCTTAATGAAAATCTATGTTTTCTTTTTTTTCCCTTTTATGTCTACCATTAACACCAGTTGTTCTTCATATCGTAACATGTGATCAACGCATCTGTTTTAAGATCTAAACGTTAATTATTGGTCTGGTGAATTTCAGGTTCTTTCAATCTTTACTTACCCAAAATATACTTTAAACATATCTGTGTAGTCAAATGCTGGATATCTCGTCACGCAAAAACTCAGAAATGTGTAAAAGACATCCCTTTACAATATTTATCATATATTTATCATATGTTTCACCTGCATCCCTCAGTATTAAGAGCGTCTACTTCAGAGTTGCGAAGTAAGGACTGAGGTGCTCCGTACGTCGACGCGCGGGTATGTTTATGAAGCATATAAGTCATTTTTTTTTCAGGAAATTTAGACTTTTTAAATAAAAAAATAAAAAGTTAGATAATTTACCAAAAACCTCTGATAAACGTAAACTACATTATTATCAATTGCATGAAGATAGAAAGGTGTCTAACGCAAAGACAAGCAAAACCACCACGTCATCACGTGACTTCTATTACATTTAATAGCTGTTATATACATGCGTATGAAATGCATATTTTAATAAAGACAAGTTTTTACTTTATTTTAGATGTACTTATGATTTAGTCATTGTTTAAATATCTAAAAGATGTATTGAAGATTAAAAACGGAAAACAAAAATTCTTGGGAATGCGCACTGTTGCACGCGTCAGTAATTTCTAAAACTTGACATCTCTCTCTCTCTCTCTCAATTCCACGATACCGATGCTATTAGCTCAAAATTGTTATCAGGTTCAAACTGGTGTTTCTTTGAAACTGTTATTCTTACTCAAATAGTTTCCTGTGTTATAAATTAATGTCATTGAGCTTTCCCCAAACTTAACTACTGTCTTTAAACTTGTGTCATTGGTTTATTTATGAAATGTGGGAGGAGTTGTTAAAGATGAGACGTAAGTGAGTTTGTCTGTAATTCACTCTCTTGCAGTAATCAATTCAAAACAACATCATTATTACATAAAGAAATGTTCCTTAATTAGAAAGCTTACAGAAAAACAATACCTCGGGTTTTAATAAATTCTTTGAGTAAATAATACAGATAAAATTATCTATTATGCCTCAAATGTGCTGCTAGAATCTCACTGTCTTGTCAGTAAAATAATTATTCCACCCATTTGCACGTAACCCTACCCGATGTTTTGAATTTTATACATATGTACTGATAAATTTACTATAAACCTTTACAAAATAAAAAAAAATCACTATTAAAAATATTCATCTGTGTTTGCCTTTTCCTGTTAATTCTTCCATTCCCACCTTAGCAGTGATATTTACTTGATTTATAACATGCATATTATAGATGGAACTTGAAAACAGCACCAATTAGCAAAAACTGGGCGATCATGTACCCTTCCACCGCGTAATATATACATACCATGCAATATTTATAGCAATAAATGGAGAGAAAAATGAATTTGAAGTTGTTTAAATGACTAAAGAGAGAAGAAAACTCCAAAGATATTACTAAGAATAAAAACAGAGATTATGACAAGGTACAGAAATTTTTCCTCAATGGTTTGTCGCTACACTTACATGTATTATTGAATTCAACGAAATAATTCTGATTTAACAATCGCTCTCATTGAGGCTTGTCTTGCGAAGAAGGATACCATAAAGTACGATTTGTTCTTAAACAAATGTTACATGTAGCATGTTGTTGTTTTCTGTACGACTGTATATATAAACAATGAAAAGGTTGCAAAACTGGGAGAAGGCTTGACGATTGCAGAACAAGAAGAAATGATCCTACATTCACTGTTTGTGGGTATCTCATGAGTTTCCTGAAGAAATTGAAGCAAGTGTTCCTAAATTTGGCATCGTGAGCATTTTAAATAGTTTTTATTAAATTCTTTATCAGAGTGTATTTTTCAAAATATCAATTTATTCATGCACATATTTTTTTTTTTGATATCTTTTTTGTATAAATTTAAATCTAAAAGCCATATATGGCGTAACTGATAAAAAAAAACATTTTTGAAAAATACAAAATTAAGTAAAGAAATATAGTTAATACATTTAAATTAAAACTTTTCATACAATTCTGATCATGGAGAACACCTCGTTTCAACTAATAATACGATTTTATCTTTTCTGTAATGTGTTATTTAAATCTTTTGTATTTTCTTTCGAGTCGGGGGAAATTCCTAGAATCCAAATTAAATTCTGTTATCTTTATAACGCAATCGACTTAGATTTTGTAATTTAGGGAAAAGTTCTATCTTTATATAAAGTAATGATACAAATAATAAGTTCTTATAATTTTAGTCTAATAATTTTCATTGTACATACGCCATATATGACTTTAAAATAAAATATAACATAATTGCATTTAAAGTTATTTTGACTTTGATTTTTTTTTACTGCGTCATAAACAAGAAAAGGACTTCATGATTGAAGATAAATTAAAAAATCAAGTTTCAAAGAGGATAAAAAAAAATTGACAAGGAATGAAAGAAATGCTTCCCTTGAGTAAGAATGTTAAGTCTTTACATATTAATAATTATCATTAAAATCATTTAATTATGACGATGGTCAAATGAATATTTATTTACTTAAATTGTTTAACTCTATCAAAATGAAACAACAAACTAATATGCTGTTTACATTTAATTCTTGTAACATTTAACAATATACAAAACCTGTGAAGTAAAATATATTTTTTAACATGTTTTATTTGATATGATTAAATGTTTTTCCATAACAATTAAAAAAAAAAAGAAAACAGCTTCATAGTTAAATATCAAAGCCTATGGCTTTCAGAAATATTCACTAAAATATATACAATTATTTAAATAAAAAATAAAAAGTATAATATTTCTGAAGAATAAAATCAGTATGAAGATTTCCCTAAAGCATTGTAATATGCACAGTTTTATAGAAGGATATTAAAAAAGGGAAAGTCCATGAAAGGCTAACAGACATGTATTTTAAAATCACAATCATAAACTTTTTAGCAGTGGTAGGAACAATTATTAGATAAAAAAAATATAAAGCATAGTGATTTCAGTAAAACGTTTAAACAAAAAAAATAGAATTCTTACTTAATTATTGATAGACATTTTTAGCAATTTGAAATAAAGCTACATTTAAACAGAAAGATATTGAAAGTGTATAAGTGCTTTACAGTGTTTCAGCGCAAAATGCAATATCAACCCAAATATATGAAACTGGGATTGCTACATGATGTATTATTGTATTTTTCTTCGAGATTAATACAAAATGCAATGACGTACTTTTTTGTTGTTACATTGTGCGTTGTTTGCCGTGTATAAACTCTGTAACTTTAATTGTAAAAGTGCTTTTAAATGACAAAACTTTACAAAGTTTCCACTTCGGCAGTGTTTAAAAGTAGATTGAAGTAAAAAGAAAAATCCATTCGAATGAAATTACAATCGTCACATGTATTTTGATGATAAAGTTTTTTATGTTTTACATGTAAAAACGTAAAAAAAAAATGAAATGAATGTCTAAAATTATCATATGTATTTTGTAACAACAACTGTACAACTGCGATGAATTGGCAGTTTTTTTTTCATAACTTCTTATATTGCAAGATAAATAAATGCAAGTAAATAAATTATAAAATAAATACCAATAAAGCATTTTGTTTTTGATTATTTTTCCTTGACTATACATAAATCATTAATATAAAAAAGAAACAATATAGAATGCTTAGATATGAACATAAATGCTAAATGCCGATTATTGTCAACCAAAAAAAAAGAATAAGTGTGTAACAACTGTTGCTTGTATTGCGTAATTAAAAGCTTTCATAAGACTGTAGATATCTTCAGCTGTAAAAATATTATGAAAAGAATGCTACAATAAAATGTAATGTTTACTCCAAGTCTGCACATAAACAGGCTGTTTGTGTTGATATTCCATTCTAAACAAAAAAAGTTTGCTACTAGTAACTGCTCTTTCTGATTTATCTTTCTCATTGATTGCAGTAAATACTTTCGCTTGAACTTTGGATGTGATCACATACGGCTTTTATCACGAAGCGATATTCACCCTGAAAACAAAAAAAAATATGTTAGTCATCAAAAACTTCCATCTAGAAAGGTATACCAAAGACTAATTTTGAGGCTTGGATCAAAATGACTTTTAGAAAAATGTAAAATTCATCAATATCTACTATTCCTAACTCCCACCCAAAACAGGGATACAATGATATTGTTTATACAATGAATAGCGACCCTTCAACCATCATAAACTTTTTTATCTTTCATTTTTGTAATTATTAAGACTTTAATATGTGCATATAAGCTAGCCATACATTTTTACTCTATTTGGCTTTACGCTCGGCACTAGAAGTGAAAGTCACGGGTCTTTCGGATATGACCTTAAAAACGTAGGTCCCGTGTCACGGTAGGCGCTGGCACGATAAAGAACCCTCACTGGTCAATGGCCCTGAGTGCCGAGTATAGGTCTAAATTTGAAGCCCTTCACCTGCATACGGTGACGTCTCTATATGAGTGAAAAATTCTCAAGAGGGACGTTAAACAATATAGAATCAATCAATCAATCAATCAATCAATCTATTTGGCTTTAATTTCTCCAAAATTGTATTTTTGTCTCACTTATCCCCGAGAAACTTCGGCTCAAAGACAGCCTCACATGTTTACACGAAAGTAGACTCCCTATGAATGATAAAAAATCTTATTCACACTATAAAAGATAACTAAAGAGTCATTTTTTTAAAGGAGTATCTGATTTTCTGACTTACAATATTTGAACAGAACTCTGGTCTTCTCACTTGTAATTGTCTGACAGCTGTGAATACATCCACGCTGTTGTCCATCTTAATTTGTTGAATCGCGTTATGAACGGCACAGAAAACTCCACATAAGACAGCACCGTCACTAAAGACATTAAGGAAACGTAGTTAGAGATATTTCATAGAAAAAGTGTCCATTAAGTTTAATAATACGCATGTCTTTTTAGTTTATCTCGAAATCAAGGACAACTTACTTTGTTCAGTGGGCATTGTTTACACTTGATATATATCATTGAACCTAGCAACCATATTTGCATTCAGTGTTGAAGATTTCGTGTTTTATCTTTTATTTTTGTTTATTTTCTATTGTTGTTTATATAAATAATATTTTTTTTTTTATAAGCTAACAAACAAGTATAGCTTTTTAAATAAAAAGCAGCTTTAACTGCAAAAATTAATGACCTGCTGACAATTGTGATAGGATTTTCTGTCTCAGTGCGCAGTGTGGCAGAAACAAGACTCCGAAGTTGAGATGTGTCTAGAGGAGTTCCAGATGTTTTAATGTCGACCTTCGGTTCTATTATAGTCACGGGTTGAACCTTCTTTTCTCTCTAATAAAATGTGCATACTTTTACATTTTTCTGTAAGTTGTTATAACTCATTTAAACGTATTGAGAAAAAAGATAATCAGAACTACTTAGAATATCTGGTGGATAAGAAAAAAAACATATTACTGGAAACGAACATTGCTAGTTTTAATATATACACCAAGTAAAAACATGTAAACTTACATTTTCTTGGCGAATATGAACAATAGTGGTGTTGACGTCAGTTTCGGATTTTGATTGAAATTGAACAGTGAAAGGATTGACTGTTTTTGAGGAGGGTGTAAGGCAGGGAAACCACGCCTTACTCTAAAAATAAATTGCAAAAAACATATATATTCAGTATAGCATAAAATGTAGACATGGATGGCCAAGAAGCATGGTGTGCCTATAATAAGTTGCATTTCAATAATAGTTTGTGCAAGATATTAGAGAAATAACTTTTTTTGTAGAACAATGTATTGAAAAGAATGCCTTCATGGTTTTAACTTTCATATTTTTAACAACGTCTTTACAAAAATAGAAGGCTTTGAAAACACAGTTTTAGCGAGAAAATAGAAATAATGATTGGTTTTAGTTCATCTGATATCACAGACCGAGCTAATCTTGTTCAGAGGATCCATACAAACGACTGTGTCAGATTCATGATCACTGAGCAAGCGCAGGAAATCAACAGCATCCTCCTCAGCCGGATATTGCGTCACAATAAAGGCTATATCGTTAGTATGTGACTACAAGTCAATAAAAAAATATATATAGATTTTGTTGATCAAAAACGATCTTTGTAAACATTTAGTTACTTTTTTGGTCAAGAAATCTACCAAATTGTGCTTAATAGATCTTGTATGCTACATGTATTTACAAATATTTTGATTTTTTTTGAATACTTACAGGCACAATGACTGCATTGATGAAGTTTCCTCTCTTAGGTACAACAGACGAAAGGTGAATGCTATATTTATCCACTGATATAAAACACAAAAAAAATTAATGTCAAAATGTTCTCATGTACATAAAGAATATACAATTTTTGCATGTATGTAAATTTATGAGGAAATAGATAATAAGATTTGATTAGTAATTGAAATAATAAAAATAAAAGGAAGCACTCATCATACCCAAAGTGCTGATTAATGAAAGTTTCCCTTAGTTATTTGAGAAATACCTTCCCATTGTTATCAATACCTTTGTAGAAAATCAAACATGCATATTGTAAACATACACTTACATGGCAATATACCGTTGAAATAAATGTCACCACAGCCGTCTTTGGCTATCTTAAAGGCTGTGTCGTCGTATTTGGGTCGAATATTCATCAAACGCTTAATAAATAAATAAAAAAAATAAACTGAATACTCCATGTTTCATAAACTACGGTAATTTTTTGTTGATTCTACCTTTTTCATGCATAACATAAAGAAATGAGGGGGTAACAGTTATTACTTTGTAAAATAAACGTTTTCAATTGCTATAAATCGGTCGCTCTACCAAAGAACTGATCCCAGGATAAAAAACACACTGATGCTTAGCACTTAGCAGATGTCATACAATCTTAAAAAAGACCCCATTCTTTAACATTAAAACATGATGTAACAATTTTCAAAATTGATTTTCCAAGCCAATAGTAAACTGATAAATGTACCTGAAACTCCTTTTGAAGTGCACTCTGATTAGCAACTTTGTCAGTGGTCAAAGTTTCAGCCTTTTTGGTGAATTCATCAACGGTGATGCTTTTGACTGGGGATTTGAATATTTCGTTTAGAGCAAGAAAAATCGTCATATACTGTTCCTACAAAAATAAATCAGAGATAAATTACAAAAAAAAAAAAAAAATTAGAAGTTGTACCCATTTCTTAGTCAATCAAAATTCTTTTAAGTTCACATGTTATCCCGCAATAAAATCTTAAAAATATAATGTGTTTCACTAACTCGATATAGATATCTAGATAAAATTCTTTTTGTTTAATATGTTGGACGTTTATTAACAAAAACTAATAATGATACATGAAATAATAACAATAATAACTAGAGCAAAGCTCGTTGCAAAGCAACGAGTAGGTCTTCCGTCCGGTTTTGACCGGAAGTGCCCGAAGAGATAGAACAAAAGAAAGCAATGAACTAAAAAGTCTCCAGTGACTTTATAATTTCAATTTTGCATCAAAACCTTCAAAATAAGCCATTTTTTGCTACTTCCGGTTTGACCGGAAGTGACGACGACGGACAAAAAATTACTTTTTATGCTTCCAGAGACATATGTAACAACAAATCTTGTCAAGAAGGGCAAAAAAAACGCATTTTCCGACTACTTCCGGTTTGGCCGGAAGTGACGACGCCGGACGTATTTTGACGACGCCAGTAGATTAAGCTTGACATTTTGAACAACTTTGCATCTTTGACCTCTTACAAATTCTGAATACTTTTTGACTTATGAAAGAAAAACTTTCGGCCCCTCTAGGCCCTTTAATTTAGGGGCCAGCCTTTTTTTTAAAGATATCATTTGAAAGGTCTTGAAATTTTACACTTCTTTTGTTCTATATGTTTAAACAAAATGTTTACAGGTAAAAACATATCGTAGAAAAGGTGTTAAAATTTTGAAATTTGCGATTTGTCATTTTTCGAGCCATAACCAGCGCCGACGTACTGCACTTCCGGTAAAAACGAAAGACGTTACGCATATGTATAGCCTTTGGTCTATCATACCTGAAAGTTTCATGTTTCTATCTAAAGCCATTATTGAGAAAGTCTGGAGACAACCTGACCCTTTAAAATTCATAAAATTGGCAATATTTCCAAACCGGAAGTGACGTCATCAAAACGGACTATAAGTACTGAAAGTTTCGTTGAAATCCATCGAGCCGTTTTCGAGAAATCGCGTGCATCAAATCGGTAAGAAAAAAAAGAATAATAACTAGAGTAAAGCTCGTTGCAAAGCAACGAGTAGGTCTTCCGCCCTTTTTGACCGGAAGTTTATGATACTTCCCGTGTGACCGGAAGTGTTGACGACGGACACAAAATTAATTTTTATGCTCCCAGTGACAGATGTTACCCAACTTTTCAAGAACGGTAAAAATACGCTTTTTTCGACTACTTCCGGTTTGGCCGGAAATGACGTCGATGGACGTATTTTGACAACCCCATTAGATTAAGCTTGACATTTTGAACAACTTTGCTTCATGGATGTATTACAAATTCTCAATACTTTTTGATATATCAAGGAAAAACTTTCGGCCCCTGTAGACCCCTAATTTTAGGGGCCAACCCTTTTTCCGAGATATCATTTAGAAGAACTTAAAATTCTACACTTCTTTTGTTCTATATGTTTTAACAAAATATTTCCAGGTAAAAAGATATCGTAGAAAAAATGCTAAAAATTTTGAAATTCGTGATAGGCCTATTTTCGGGCCATACTGAGCGCCGACGTACAGCACTTCCGGTGAAAATAAAATAATTCCACAATTCTACAGACATAGGTCTACTAGACCTGAAAGTATCACGTGTCTATCTAAAGTCGTTTAGGAGAAATCGTGCGGATAAACTGACCCTTAAAAAATCAATTTTGTGCTGATACCTCCGGACCGGAAGTGACGTCATCAAAACAGAAAAAAAACGCGTAAGGTTCAAGTGATGTTACATAAATCCTGAAAGTTTCATGGAAATCCATCGAGCCGTTTTCGAGAAATCGCGTGCACAAAATCGGTAAAAAAAAAAATAATAAAAGTGAAAAAGAAACCTAAGAATAACAAGAAGGTCTTCCGCTGAAGACGAAAGACCTTAATAATAATAATAAAAAGTGAAAAAGAAACCTAAGAATAACAAGAAGGTCTTCCGCTGAAGACGGAAGACCTTAATAAAAATAATAATAATAATAAAAACTGTAGAAGTATGTAAACATCTATATCGAAGTATGTTGCATCTACTTTTAAAATAACGACCACTATTGAAATAATTATTTCAATAGTTGTCGTATTTGAATAGTGGTTGCTACGTATGTTTGTTATTGAAATGCACTCTCAACCATTATTGAAATAAGTATTTCAATAGTGGACGTCTTTCAATAGCGGTTGCAACCTACGTTTGGTATTGCAATGCACTCTGAACCAATATTGAACTAATTATTTCAATAGTGGTTGCAACAGACGTACATTTTTCCGCTAGGGATTATTTTCCGCTACGTACACGAACACAATTTTTCTTTGGAAAATTTTCACAGCGTACCATAAATTCAATAAGGACATATAATGACAATCCATGATACAAGTAATTTCATACTCGCAGATTGAATATAATTTTTTTTCCCGCGGAAATACGAGTTCGTGGAACTAAGTACTTTTACAGTACATGGACTTACATATGTTTGGACCATGTTCATCCTACTTTCTCTCATCTTCTTGACATACTCTGCTATGTTAACTTTCCCTGTCTTTCTTGCTTTTTTGTTCAGAACGTCTATTGCTATGTATGTCCCAGTTCTCCCTATTCCCGCGCTAAAGTAAAGAGAATTGATAATAAGAAAAAAACTCCATATGTACAGTGTTTCATTTACAGTCACTGTGATACATTTGTATTAAGGCATATCTAATTCATTTTTTTGAACTATCCAACATTTAATTTACATATATACATGTATCTTTTTTTTAATAAAAATAACTTTTTATGGTAGTTTCTTAAATATTTTAAGTGGTAAATATATACTTTTTTAAAAGTACACAGCAAAACCAGAAATAAAAAAATCCTCTTTTTTTCGATTTACCTGCAATGCACAACTGTTGGGGAGTGTTTTTGATTGTACACTGTCCTAGTCACGTGATCAAGGAAGATAACAAGGCAAAGAGGATCCGGGGTCCCGTGGTCTGGCCACGCTGTGTAATGGTATTGTGTAACGTGACGTTTGTTCTTCGTCTAAATTGGTGTATATATTTTCAATGAACATTTTAAGTATGTATATACCAATGCAAATAGATCATCTCGAGTGAAATACTGGCAACGTCAAAATTTTAAAAGCTAGTTTTAAAAAAAAGAAAAAAAAATTGTGGTTGTATAATTCATGGAGATATCAATAAGTTTACGGGTACAAACGCGTTGGCAGTGTGACGTCAATTAACGCTGTTTTGACGTAGAATGGCATACCCCCCCCCCCTTAATAGGAGAAAAAAAAAATACATGCTAAGTATATTGTGTTGAAATATTCAATTCTGATCCAGAAAGAATATTTCTTTTTGGGATATCGGTTTTCTTTTTACATTTACTTTTTAAACATGGATTTCGTATTTTTTTGATTTTCATAAAATCTGGTTTAGACTTCAGGAATTTGTTAAATTCTCATACTGCATCACATGTACCTGGTTGACATAACTATTACCTAAAGATTGGAAAATATAATGCGCGTAAGATGATATGTACCTTCCGAGTTTTTTTTTTTTTGTTCTCTTAACATCATATATTATACTAAGTCTTCTTAACTATTTTCTACCTTTCTCAATAAAAAACTCACCTCTTTATGAAATATTGTAAACTTTCGAATGATGTAGAATGCGTATTCTTTTTCTTCCACCATCTTAACAGACAGACATCCGTAACTGGTGTGTTTATTTGGCCCCGGCCAGTACTGGGTGCATTTAGTCTTTTCGTAAATAAATAAACCAAAAATTATTAAAGTATATCTGAATAAATGCATTTTTTATTTTATTTACAAAGACCATCCACTTTAATTTTTTGTGAAAGAAAGTTTCTCGTAATAAGTATTGTATAGGAAGTAAGTTTAAGAATGCCAAGTACGTAATTTTAAAATATACTATACTTTTGTCCCTTCCTTCAAATTAGTTAATATTACAATGGCCTCCACATGCTCCTGCCAAATCATTGTCCAAAAGTCAACAACAGTGTTTTGTCTTGGTCCTAACGTAATACATGAAAAATGATACTTAAATCATAAATACATGTGTATTTTTTTTTTTTTTACAATTTATAGAAGTGCGTTGACAAATAATATGTGCAAAAATGTACACAGATGTTTGTTTTCTTTTTAATCATTTACCTTGTGTAGCAATGTATTCCTTGTCTTTCTCAGCACCCTGTAGAGAAAGATATATATCGATTATGTTTTTTCCAACATTAAGATAAAATAGGTAAATCAGTTGTTGAAATAATTCATTGAACGTGAGTAAACTTTTAAAACTTAATAAAAATACGTCAATACAACATACTAAACGAATTGACTAATACCATTTTTTTTGTTCATTTTTTTATTGTTATTTTTTTTTCTTGGTGTTTAATTGTTTTTGTTTCTTGCTTTTTTTTTGTCTTAATGCATAATCGTTCTGTTAACGTATATTTTTCTGAATTAAAAGATATTGTGTTAGATTACCTCTATATAATTAGCGTTTATATAATCCGATCCTGTCTCTGACTTTAATATGACTCTTGAATGGTCATCTGGATAAATATAGACAATTTTAATTGATTAAAATTAAGTAAATTTAATATGAATACAAATCAGGTATCGATTTAATGATTGTTAGTAAATATAATTCATTTTATCTTCTCATTTAAAGAAAAAAAAAAAGATGACAGCACAAGAGGAATAAGATAACTTTCTTTTTTAACGATATAAACAATATGTATAAAACTCATTTCTTGATTTGCTAATACTAACAGGGGAAAGTTGTTTTAAATCTATTTTTAATCATATTTTCTTCACTCTTTCCGGCGTCACACTTGTATATTTCTCCATATGGTAATGTCTGTAAATATAGAATATGTACATTTTAAGAAGAAAAAATGCGTAAGGCATCTTTGTATTTACTGTCTAATATTATCATCAGGCATATTTTCTTGAAACTCTGCTAAAAACTACGCAATAGATATCTTGATACTATGGGGTTTATAGAAGAAAAAAATGAATTAATAAGCATGCGTTAATTACAATCTGTGCGTCATTAATATAATACACAGACAATAAAATTTAAACCCTTTATAAAGAGATTTTTCATGCGTATCCTCACCGCATATTCTTTCTTAAAACCGTCATCTCCATTTTTTCTATTTTCAGCAATGACGGATTCAAGCTGATTTAAGGGTATCTCACGAATCATTGGTTCGTTTGCATAAAAATCCCCATATGGATTTTCTGAGTGTATTTTCTCATCGTCATCTACATCCACTTCATGATCATCACTCTTCTTCTGTTGTTTCGACCGTTTTTCATCATCTGTTTCCAGATATGTATTTTCACGGCTAAAAGGAGGTTCTGGTTCTGAACCAATGCTACCGAAGCCCGTCCCTAGCATTCTCTTTTCAGCTGAAAGAAATAAATACGCAATCATGGTGAGTGTCATAAAGGTTTAGTATCGACTATTAGAAATAAAAGACTACACCAAGATACGCAGTTATGATAAGGCTGTCCGAAGGCTTAAAATGCCTTGAAAATATACATTTCATTCCGAGTTAGATTTTAATTACTGTAAATATATTACATTTGGCGTGTACGATATTTGGCGGAATTTCAATTTTCAACAAGTTAGCGTGGATTTGATTTAGCGCTGTCTGAAGTTTTTTGTTATAAGCGTTAATATACAGGACATTTAGCGATGTACTTGAATTAGCGGACTCTGCTTTCCGCCAAAATCGCTAAATAGAATACACCGCTAAATGTAATACGTTTACAGTATAATATGTAATCCTTGTTTGAAATTGCAGTCAACTTGAAATAATAGTTTAGTCAAGTTTTATTTTACAGCATTTTTGTGATGTCACATGACTGTGTTGTTCACGTGACGGAGATTTATGATATTCCTAATTGTTGCACAAAAATCGTTTCGGCACAAGTGCAAAACAAAAATATTGTGCAAAGTTTATTACATAGATCAATTCATCGCGATCTCTAGTACATAGAAAGTGCTGGGGGCAGGTTTAATTTATACTCGGTTAGAAAATATTTTACGAGAAATTCAACTTACCAACATAAAAAGGGGTATTTTCCACTCTTTATCGCGATTTATACAAAAAAGGATAAACTACACACAATCCCCCAGCAAAATTCAGTTAAAGGACATATTTCTCTTGTAGATTCACATAACATATCTTCAATTTGTCGTTGTTTATCACTTGTGCCAGTCCAATATAAACACGCTTCATAAATTTTAACTCTGTCTACGGACGGGTAAGGGGAGCGCATCACACTTTATTTTTGCTGTTGTTTGAATATGTGCATATCGGACAAGCAAAAGGAATAGGGATATTTAAATTTCAAATGTTCAAATAATAACAGCAAACTCGAGGTTAAAAAACAATCCTTACACTTGAATTAAATAACAAGTCCCCAAAATTAATCTACGTGTCATGTAATAATTATGACACTTTCCCCGTCATGTCAGCTCAAGTATGCAGTGACCAGACGTCATATTCTATTATGACGTCATATCTAGGTAGTTCAGCGAAATAAGTACAGTTTGAACAGTTTGATATTTTACGGACAGCCTTATCCTAGCTGCGTAAAAAAAAATAACAAATTCTCACAACTACTTGCTCCTTTTTCTAATCCACCTTTTCTTTCTGTTTTTCGTACACTGCGTCTAAAAAAAATAAACGAAAACTGTGTTTATTGTATAAAAAGTAATAAGTATGATTCTCCAAACAATGTGGATATTGTATATATCAAGTTTAGTAATTTTCATGAAAGGAACATTCTGAAGAACTTAAACCAGAAAATAACCTTTTAAAAACGACAACCACTATCACTATAACTAAAATAGCGATGACCAATCCTGCAATTCCGCCAACGATCAACCCTATATTGTCATCATTACTACCACCAAGTAAAGTATCCTGGAAAGTAAATTCAAAGACATGAAAGTGCAATCAGCAAATATTTTGCAATTCTCTTAGTTTTCAAGTTTTGTTACAAAGTGGCATTTGTATTAGCATTACCTTTACTTCATCACAGTTACCATTAACTGGGTCACAAATGTTATTCATACAAGTTTCTCTGCAGTTATCCATACACTGAAAGCCATATTTCCCCGGACTACATTCTGAAAAAAAGTCAGTGTGCAATTGTTCACTATCAATACCTTCGCTTTGACAATGTTAAAACATACGAGTGTAATTTTAAAAAAAGTATGAATAGACACAAGGATAAACAGAAGGAATTAACATCGAATGTTTACAAAAATGAATCCCAAAATTTTAAGTATTATCAAAGAGTATTAGTGGCTTAAAAACAAACTGCATGGATTTGTTACGGAGAAAAAAAGGACATACAGACGGACAAACAATTGTAAAAAATAAAATACGCCTTCCTAAGGAGCATGTGTGTAATAAAATCGAAAGTAAATGTAACAAGAAGTAAGAATATGAACGCATTTAGGATAATGACAATAAAACATAAAGATGTGCAAAAATAATAATTATCTCCCTTTGAAAGACTTCATGTATGCAAAGATATTACATCAACATTCTTTCTGACTTTCAGTTGGAAACAGTATAATACAAGTATATTATTCATTTCTTCTATTTAATAGAATTACATGGGATCAGTTGCCATAGAGGAGTAAGCATCACCTGCCCACTTGTCAGACCCGCATGTGCCCTTTCTCATGATCGGGATTTTACAGAAAAATCCTTCATCAATTAAATGTACATGTATCAATAATCGACTAACAATAAGTATATAAAAAACGTCAGAATGCATTTGACCCAATGATAATTTGTATTTGCTCAAAAGATCATTGTATCGACAAAAGAACTTATAAAATGATGACTTTAAACGAGATTAATGAAATCATTGTTTCATCAACTTGTGGTTTCACTGATCTTTATATACAAAATCATTATTTTAACATTATTCAAACTTACTTGTTGTGCAGTTTAGGTTTACGTATCCATTACTACATCCATACGGGCATGTTCCGTTAATATGATGACATGTTGTGTTCAGACAATAACCACATGATAAATTGCAGCCAGGACCATACTTGTTCATTTTGCACTCTATGGAAATAAAAATCTTTAAAAATAAGGAATAAATGAATAAATGTCATTGGAAATTCTAATCCATATATTGTAAGATTTCTTTGGATTCTCAGATTTGACAAAAAATCAGGGGGGAAAGTCAAGGAAATAATTTTAATTAGTACATGTGCAAACATGTTTAGCAAATTTTAAGATGTTCATTTATATCAATTTAATCATTGATTTCTTCACATATTCAGCACTTTATTAACTTAATTAAATATTAAACTTACTAATATTTTCAAGGTTATCTCTATCTAGTCATTGTATAAGGAGAAAAATACATAATATTATAAAAAATGATGATATACCCTTTGTACATTGAAGTCCCTCCCAACCTGGTTGACATCCACCCTCACACTCCCCTGTCGTTACGTTGCATTCATACGGAACGCCACATTTCTCATTGCAATCATATTTACAATTAATGCCGAATTTTCCACTTGAACAACCTTGAATGACATTATAATTATATTCATTTTATTTTATTTGTATATATATATATGTAAAACTTTCAACACTGAAAAAAAATCTGTCGAAAAATTACTTTCATATCTTTGCATTTTTGCTAAAGTTTATGAAAAGCATCTATATTGTTTTTTAAAAATGCGTTACATCAATAAGTACCAGTTGTGCAATTATCTCCTTCAAATCCTACATCACATCCTTCAAGACACGATCCATTGATGTGGTGACATTGTTTATATCCCAGACACGTTCCACAGGTCTGTTCGCAATTTTGACCATATCTGCTATCATCACACTCTATTTATGATAGTTTCACAATTTGTTTAAGAAAAGTTATACATGATCTGTTACAAATCCACCGTTTACGTACCAAAAAAGTAAATAAACATCTGACATGTCTTTTAGTGTAAAAATGAGTAATTGAATAATAAAGATTTGAAAATATTGAAAATGATGTTTTGATAAAAAATCCATAACAATAAACAAAAAAAGATTTTTTGTAAACTTGGGCAACATCTTTTTTTAAGCATTGCTAAAGCTACCAGCTATAAATATAGAAGTTAAAAAGATGTGCACATCACTAGTGCCATCATTAATCAGTGAAATTTATAAATATGTACATGTCAATGTATCACAATAAAACAATACGCTTTTGGGAAGAATTGAAAAAAAAATATAATTTCATGGTTTAATACCTACTTGAAAAATTATAATGAATGTTTTTATTATAAATAAGGGAAAAGTATTACCATCTTTGCAAAAGAGTCCTTGCCATCCAGAGTAACAAGGAGATGTACATTGTCCAGAAAATCTGTCACATTCATCACAATTACTACATATCTCAGAACAGTTACGTCCGTGCCAACCTTCTGGACATGCTAAAAAAATAGTTCATATTTAGCGAATGGTGATTTTTTTTTAAAATGTCGATAATTTTGTTCTAACGCATATCATCATGTCATTATACTGTAAAAGAATATATAGTAGAATTGTCTATATCTGTTATAAATAATATTGCAATTACGTAAAGCAAAAGAAGGGTTTATTTGGTAGAGAAAAGACTTCTTTTGTCTTGTTTTGTGCAAGAAATAAGTACAGGAAATACATTATGAAATCAATTAATTCTTATTTCAAATCTTATGAAATCGCTGAGAAAGCACACAATTTCATTTTTTTAAAATTTTATTCCATGAAAAGAAACATCAATTTGTATATTAAGTAAGACCCTCGTCTTTAAAATAATATAAAGTATGCTTTCAATTCTGCCCATATCTTGAACCTGCGTAAAATTTTAAATTTGTAGTAGGGTACATTTTAAGTCTTTAAAATAAATGTTTAAAAACATTAAAATCTTTTTGTACACTTTGCAAAATTCTGTATGACCAATTAAAATTGTTTTGAATATCAGACTTTTAAATTGAGTTATAGTCACTTTCTCCTGAGAAAAACAAACGAGCGATCATTTAAACAATAATTAACAACTTAGTGAAAAATGATATTCAGCTAATTATGTAATTTATTATATTACGTGTTTGACATTTTTCTCCATAGACCCCGACATCACATCCGTCTGTACAGCTTCCGTTGACATGGTTACAAGTCACTCCGTTTGTACAGTTACCGCATGTCACAGAGCAGTTTACTCCGTAAAACTGTGCACTACAAACTAATTATACAATTTTTGATAATCAAAATATCACACTCATGAATGACTCATCAAGTTAATAACATCGAGTATCTAAAAAAAAAAATCTTCAGTAAGATAAATATTATTTTCAACTGCAGTGTATTCATGCAAGATGTATATGTATAACCTTTTCCAACTCAGATATTTGAATTTGTATGAGAAGAACATTTATACACAATATAGAAAACTTAAAAAAAAGACATATTTTTCTGTCAGTTACATTTACATCTCAGGCAGAAGAAACCGACTGATTTGTGAAATGTATGAAATAAAATAGTTGTGTTGTCTCTCAGGCAAAAAAAATGTTTTAAAGTAGCATTTTGGGAAAAATTCAGCCAAGAGGTTTGGGATGTAAGACTGGGCATTTAATAAATTCTGCCCATAAAACAAAATTTTTTTGTAAGTCATAGTCAGATTGTTTTGGCATAGAAAAGAGTGGTGAAAAATATTTGTTTAATATTGATCCATTTTTTAGCATCTCGAGTGTTATTTGACTGATATATAACGTAACAAGAGGCCCATGGGCGACATCGCTCACCTGGGCACTAAGGGTAGGAAAAAGTAGAAAATGGCTTTTTATTGTAAAATTTAAATCCAAAAATAGTCCCATGACCAATCATGGATTTGCTACTTTTTAGAAATGATTTTTAAAGAATTTTCCTGTATATCTTTAAAAACTTCCATCGGTCATTTTGGCCCCGCCATACCCCTTGGGGTCATGATTTGAACAGATTTGAATCTACACTACTTAAGCATGCTTCCATATAAATATGATGAATAATGGTTTTGTTATTCTTGAGAAGAATATGTTTAAAGAATTTTACTATTTATTTCTATGTAAAACTTTGGTCGGCCATTTTGGCCCCGCCCTTCCACCGGGGGTCATGATTTGAATAAACTTGAATCTACACTGTATGAACATGCTTCCATATAAATATGATGAATTATGGCTTTGTCATTCTTGAGGAGAGGATTTTTAAAGAATTATCCTTTATATTTCTATGTAAAACTTTGGTCGGCCATTTTGACCCCGCCCTACCCCCGGGGGTCATGATTTTAACAAACTTGAATCTACACTACATGAGCATGGTTCCATATTAAGATGATGAATTTTGGAAGAAGATTTTTTAAAAAAAATTCCTATATCTTTCTATGTAAAAGTTTGGTCGGCCATTTTAGCCCAGCCCTACCCCCGGGGGGTCATGATTTGAATAAACTTGAATCTACACTTCCTGAACATGCTTCCTGATAAATATGATGAATTATGGCTTTGTCATTTTTGAGAAGAAGATTTTTAAAGAATTTTCCTATATATTTCTACGTAAAACTTTGGTCGGCCATTTTGGCCCCGCCCTACCCCCGGGGGTCATGATTTGAACAAACTTGAATCTACACTACCTGAGGATGTTTCCCCATACGTTTCATCTTTCCCGGCACAGTGGTTCTTGAAAAGAAGATTTTTAAAATATACCCCCAAATGTTCATTAATTCCCAGTTATCTCCCCCTTGAATGAGGGCCTGGCCCTTCATTTGAACAAACTTGAATCCCCTTCACCGAAGGATACTTTGTGGTAAGTTTAGTTGAAATTGGCCCAGCGGTTCTTGAGAAGAAGTCGAAAATGTGACAAGTTTACAGACAGACAGACAGACAGACAGACAGACAGACGGACGGACACACATTTGGTTATATATTGGGTACATCAAGTCCAAGTCCTATTGGATACTGCTTATTGGATACAAAAAAGTGTACACACGAGAGAGCATTATTTGGGTAGTTACTGTTCAAACCTCATTGGATATTAATCCTCGTGTCCGTATTTTATTGGTTTTTTTCTTATTGTTTTTTCATTCCAAATTTATCATATATTTAATATTTGCTGGTAAATTCAGACAAGACTGAAAACATTTGGTTTTGAACCCATATTTTTGTCAATTTCCGTGATATAGCTCTTTTATTGTAACATCTAACTAATTTGTTCTTAGCAATAAGGATATACACCTGTACATTTCAAAATATCTAATATTAAAATATATGAATACCTAAGTTCAAAAAAAAACTGAATTGTGCAAACTAAACTCAACACATCTCAGACTCTGTTCAACCTTTCTTGAATAACAAAAATAAGTATTTAAGGAGCGCAGCTAGGATAAGGCTGCCCGTTAAATATCAAACTGTTCAAACTGTAGTTACTTTTCTGAACTACCTAGATATAACGTCATAATAGAATATGACGTCAAGTCACTGCATACTTGAGCTGACATGACGGGGAAAATGTCATAATTATTACACGGCATGTAGATTTATTATGGGGATATGTGTTTAATCTAAGAATAAGGGTTGTTTTTTTTTAATTTGTGTGTGCTGTTATAATGTTTCACATTTGATATTTAAATGTGTCTATTCCTTTTGCTTGTCCGATATGCATATATTCAAGCAATAGCAGCAGATTATGTTTGAAACGCTCCCCTTACACTTTCTTAGACAGAGTTAGAATTTATGAATCGTGTTTATATTGGACTGGCACAAGTGAAAGACAAGGATAAATTGAAGATATTCTGCGTGAATCTAAAAGAGAAGTATGTCTTTTAACTGAATTTTGCTGGGGGATCGTACGTAGTTTATCCGTTTTTGTATAAATCAAGATAAAGTGTGGAAAATACCCCTCTTTACATTGGTAATTTTAATTTATTGTAAAATATTTTCTTAAGAAGTAAAAATTAAACCTGCCCCCAGCACTTTTTATGTACAAGGGATAACGATTAATTGATCTATGTAACAAACTTTGCACAAATATTTCGTTTTGCACTTGTGCAGAGGAGATTTTTGTGCAACATTTAAGAATATCAAAAATGTCCGTCACGTGATCAACACAGTCATCTGACATCACAGAAATGCTTTATTATAATACCTGATTAAATTGTTATCTCAAGTTGACTGCAATTTTTAACAAGGATCGCATGTTGAAATTATAATCAAGCTCAAAATAAAATGTAAATTTTTAAGACATTTGAAGCCTTCGGACAGCCTTATCATAACTGCGAGAAACCTTTTTGAGTCATGACCAATTAATAATAAGCAAATGACCATTACATGTTGGGCAGAATGAAGGTATCCCACAGGCATTGGACAGGTGTCCAATACCCGTTGGGTTGTATTTTGACGAAAGGATTAAACTACCCAAGAACAATTGAACATGTGTACATTGTCCAATTCTATTTGGGTTTCTTGAATCTCCTCATCAAAATACAACCCAACAGGTAATGGACACCTGTCCAACTCCTCTTGGATATCTACATCTCACCCAACAGGTAATGGACACTTGTCCAATTCTTCTTGGGTTTCTTGCATTGTTTCATCAGAATACCACCCAACAGGTAATGGACATCCGTCCAACTCCTCTTGGATATCTACATCCCACCCAACAGGATACAGATACTTGTCTAATTCTTTTAAGGTTTCTTGAATCTCCTCATCAAAATACAACCCAGCAGGTAATGGACACCTGTCCAACTCCTCTTGGATATCTACATACCACCCAACAGGTAATGGACACGTCCAATTCTTCTTGGGTTTCTTGAATCTCCTCATCAAAATACAACCCAACAGGTA